ATTGTGTTGGGAGCAAGTAAAAAATTTTGAAGGCAGGGCATGGTTGTCTTCCACACCCCAAACCTCCTCCTCCCCTTCTGATCCTTCTTTCTTTATGTGGCTACTCAGACACATAAAGTATTGCTCCTGCTGGAGCCAGTTTCTGGGCAACATTATGAACATTAGTCATTTGCGCCATAGTGTAAATAAGTTTACATGAGTCAGTTGATGTCTTTGTATCTTAATTTGGGACTAAACTGCTGTCTGTATTGTTTAAGATATTCAGGGTATCTGGGCAGGTGTAGGAGGAATTTGGAGGTCAGGGAAGATCCTTTACCTCTAAAATAATACCTACACTGTGACTAGGAACTCAGGCAATAGTCCCAGGTAGTAAATAAGAATTTTTAAAACTGCATTTAGCTTCTTTTCCTCTTTATCGGAAGAGTGGATATTTTCAGACATTCTGGATAAGCTTAAACATAATTTTGAGTTGTTAGCAAGAGAATTCAATATTCCTAAAAATGTTATAAAATGAATTTCTCTGGTATTTGAAAGAGCTTGCCAGAGATGGTGATGGAGGTTTTTACATGTCATGCAACAAGGGCCCTGGTTCATGGAGGTGACTTACACTTTGTGGGCCTTGCGAGGTGTGGGCATCCTGGAGTCCTTCCCCCGGTGCTGAAGCAGCCATGGCGGTGTAGACGCTCTCTCTGAGTGTCTCTTGAGTTAGGAGAGCAGTTTGCTAATGAGTTATAGAGGTCAGGATTGGGCTGGTTCGTGCTAGAAGTCTGAGATCCCTGTAATATGATAAGAAATATATATTTGGTCTTTGTCCCTGGTTCCAGGCACAGAGCTTCTAAAACTGTTGGAATTTCCTGAGTGATAGGAGTGTCTTTGGTTGTTCATAACAAACCCCTTTCAACCATACTTGAGTTTATGCTAATAAGATGATTCTTGGTGGGCCCCTACATAAGCTTGAGGATGAAGGCTGGTTGCCAGAGGAACGAACCATGTGGTTAGAGGGTTGGAACTTTGAGCCCCTCTGGGGAGGGGAGAGGGGCTGAAGATGGAGTTAATCACCAATGGCCAGTGATTTAATCAGTTATGCTATGTAATGAAACCTCCATAAAAACTCCTAAAAGACAGGGTTCTGAGAACTTCTGGATTGGTGAACACATCGAGGTGCTGGAAGGTGGGAAGCCTGAGGGCATGGAAGCTCCCACGCACCTCCCCGCCCCCCCAAACTCTAGGCATCTCTTCCATTTGGCTGTTCTTGAATTGTATCCTTTAAAATAAACCAGCAATAGTAAAGTATTTCCCCAGTTCTGTGAGCTGTTCTAGGAATGGCTAAGAAAGGGATCAAGGGAACCCCCAATTCATAGCTGATTGGTCAGAAGTACAGGTAGCAACCTGGGCCTTGCCACTGGCTTCTGAAGCCAGGGCAGTCTTGTGGACTGAGCCCTTAACCTGTGGGGTCTGCACTAATTCCAGGTAGTTAGTATCAGAATTGAATTGAATTGTAGGGCACCCCGGTGGTGTCAGAACTGGTTATTAGTGTGGAAAAAAGCCACCCATTTGGTGTCAGAAGTGTTATGAGTAAAAAATAGCTCATCCCTCAGCCAAAGGGCAAGCTTATCCAGAGACACAAGAGGTTGGCCGTGGTGTGGAGAGAGTGCCCCATTCTGTGTCCTTTGTTGGTTGATGATGACCTCAGACTGAGGAAGAGGGAGGGCAAAATGCTGAGTCCTCCTTTCCAAGTCCATAAACACAGCATCCCTGTGGTGACCATGCTCTTCCAGGGAAGCTCTGATTTACTTCCTGAAACCGTGTTAAGGTGGTGACCCACAGCCATGGTGGGGAAGCCACTGGGACCAACAGGCCCAGCAGCCAGTTTCTTAGGGCTCATTACCTTGATGATGATACAGTCTCTTTGGAAAGTCAGCTTGTGTAACCAGCAGCTGGGCACAGCTCACCCTGTGACCTGGAAACCTGGCATCAGCTGAGCGCACTCCGAGGGTCAGGCAGAGAAGGCCTCCTGGGCTCGGGCTGGCACAAGGGCACTTGAAGGAGCGTGTTTCTGTCTGTTCAGGCTCATCTGCCAAGATGCCTTTTGGTGTGCAGGCATTGCTTCCCTCATGCCAGACTCCAAAGAGGGGTGGATTCTAGGAAATCCAGCTGGAGGTATATAGTTCATGCGTTGTCGCGGCCAGAGCCTGGATGAGTTAACTCAGAATCTGTTGTTACCGCTTCCTTCCCAAGCTCCGCCCTCTCCTTCATGTGTGCGTCTCACCCCTAGTTTTCAGTGTACCCACGGACCCAGTGGGCTTCGTTTGAGAACTCATGGGGTTTTAGTCATCTTCCTCCAAGATCATTTCTCCCAGAAGTTACAAGGCTCTCTGTTGACAGTAGTCACTTAAGAGGATGCAGGTAGAGAAACAGCCTTTGTGTTTGCCGTACCTCCACTTTGGTGACCTTTGCTCCTTGGAATGACTTCTGTTCATTTTTCAGGCCTGGCCCAACTCAGTTGCCATCAGAGTGTTTCGCACCCTCTCCCTTCCTCAAGCAGAGTTAATTTTCCCTTCCTCAGGTCCCATTGCATCTTTCTAAATTCATCACAATGCTGCTCTTTTTGTTGAGATATAATTTACATTGTGTGAGTTTGACAAATATGTGTTTGTCAGATGTATACAGTCATGTAACCACCACCATAATCAAGACACAGAACAGAATTGCCCCCCAAAATTTCATACTCACTTGTAGTCAAACCCTCCCTTCACCCCTAGCCCCTGGCAACCACTGATCTGATTTCTCCCCAATGTTTTGCCTTTGCAAGAGTATCACGCAAATGGAATCGTAAAGTGTGCAGCCTTTTCTGTCTGGCTTCTTTCACTCTGCATAAGGCATTTGTTGTGTGTATCTGTGGTTCATTTCTTTCCTTGCTGAGTGCCCATAACTTTTTATCCATATCTCTACATCACCTCTTCCACTGTATCCACATAGCTGGATCTTTCTGTCTGTCTCCTTGGTGCGTAGCCGAGCTCCTCCAGGGCTGGACTGTGCTTTGCGTGCCTCTGTATCCCTAGCCTGCACATAGTAGGCACTTGACAGAGTGTGGTGTGGTGCCGGGGCAGCTGTGCATTGACAAGGATGATCTTTGATCCTCTCTACCTCACGGGGAGGGGGTAGCAGAGCCCCTGTAGAAGTCTGGCTGAGCCTGGGCTCTGGCTTTCTCTAGGGCCCTGGCTGGTCCCTGCTCAGGCTCTGTGTTCAGCAGGTGACCTGGAGAGATGTCCAAGGATGGGCAGGCTGGCTTCTCATAGACTACACCTGCCCTCAGTTTGGTGTCCATGATGGGTGGGGTGCCAGCACTTGTTGGGCAGCTTTGGATGGTTCTCTCTGGATCCCCTGACTCTGCTTTCTGGGGCTCCCTGTCCTGAAGTACTGGGAGTGTGGTGTCAGTGTATGCCTGTCTTGTTCCTCCTAGGCTGGAGAAGCCCTCTTTGGGCCTTGTTTTCACTGAGTCACAGCTGCACTGGCTTGTTAGTTAAAAATGGGCCTAGACATATCCCCTCTGTGACAGGCCCTCCTCGTCTCAGGCTGACTCTGGAGTGCCTGTGTAAGTATGTGGAGGAGCCTGAGTTTGGGGACCATTTCTATTCCAGGATCTTCTTGCCTTGACTCCTGGATCAGTAAGGGGAAGATGGCGGTGGGAGAGTGAGGGCCAGCGTGTGTTAGAAATACTTGGAGGTGGCGGCATGTTACTTCGGAGACACTGGAGTTCAGGGGGTTCCTGGAAGCCAGTGGAAGTGATTGGTTGTTTGCTGTAATGACAGTGACTCAACTGTAAATCCACAGGGTTTTAAATCAGACTGACCAGGGTTCAAACCACGGATCCACTCTTTACCGGCTGTGGCCTTAGACAAGTTACATGACTTCTCTGATCACCAATTCCTCCTTTGTATGTTATCTGCCCCACTAGGGTGATTGTGAGAATTAAAACAATCACATGTATAAAGCAGCTAACAGGGCCCAGCACAGAGTAGGCCCTCATTTAGTGCCAGCTGCTCCTATGGCCACCTCTAGTCTTGCTATGTGCTTTGGCCAGCAAGCATTACTACTTTGCATTAGCTTCTAAGGAAAGAATTAGAGGTTCTGAAAGAAGGACACAGGGGTGTCCAAATTCATGTCCAGACTTTTTTCCACTGCTGCTCATACCTCCTCATCTTTGTTGGTCTTCAGCCACTACTGTGTCCTTAAATCATTTCAACAGCCGCCCAAATGGAGCTGGTAACTCAGGACTCACCAGCCCAAGAAGACTGTAACCGAGCTTAAAATAGAGACGTGTCCCTTCACCGGCCCCTGAGGGCAGGCCAGGTTGTGTCTGCACACCCAGGCTGAGCCGGACTCTGGGCAGCTGGAGGCTGCACACCTCCCCACAAGGGAGCTGCTTCCCCCGGGAGGCAAGCCGGGCTTTCCTTGGTCCAGGAGCCCTGAGGGTATGTGTCCTCAGCCTCTCGGCACCCCACCGCTGCCTGGCCAGAGGTTACTGGCCATTCCTCAGAGAAACAAAGCCTGGGGAGGACCTGGGGCCGGGCGTGGGGGAGACAGGGATCTGGTGGTACCTGGCACCTTAGGTTTTAGCAGGCCGTCTGAATTGGAGTTAGACTAGTTCTGGCCTTTGGTATTGGGGGATGAGGGGAGCCATCGGGAGGCCTTTTTAAAGATGGACAATGGGGCAGTCTTGTCTAAGAGGGCAGAATAGGAGGGGAGCTCAGAAAGAAAAGTCCACGCTATTTGGTGGTTCTTGTTTTTTTTTAAGTGCCAAACCAGATCATTGTGTCTGCACATAAGTGTGTCAGAAGCCAACCAGAGAAAGCCCACAGAGCGAGGCCCACACAGAAAGGTTAGGCCCTGCCCAGTGAGAGAAGACGCCCGGATGGGGCGACTTGGTGCCCAGAGCAGCATTCCTCTACTACTGTCTTTACGTTGTGTCTGTGACTGCTTCCTCCTTGCCCTTGCAGGTGCCACCATGGAGTCTGACCTTTGCTGACCAGACCCAGGCAGGAGGCGCACAGCCAAGACAGGCGGCCTGCAGCCATCGCCATGGCTTCCAGCAGCTCGGAGAGCCAGCTCCAGAGAATCATCCGAGATCTGCAGGGTACGGTTAGGCCGAGGGCATGCTGAGTTTGGTTTTGAGGGGGCTGTGGCTGTGCTTTTGCTGTGGCCAGTTGAAATTCAGCCCTTTCATCTGTGTTCACACCAGGGTAATTGGAGCCCTCAGGACACGTCATCCTGAAATATTTGGGGCTCATATGTCCACCCTGTGCAAGGCTGGGAGAGCTTACCTGGCCTTCCCCTCAGGGAACTGTAAAGCCACTTTGTAAACAAAATCAAATACCCCAGTCTGGGTCTGGGTCTGATTTCAGTGTGTGTGTGTGTGTAGGTGTGTTTTCAAGCTAACCTGCTGAGTCTTTGGGTGGATCATGAGCCTCTGGGCTCTGATGAAGTTGGCTCATTTGGGGAGGAATATTCTCCCTCCCTCTGAGCAGGAAGACGAGATTCCCATCTTTCTTGTTTTGCTGTCCGACCTGGTCCTGGTGGGCAGATGACCTGTCGCCTGTGACGTGCTGCTGTTCTGGGCCTGCTGTCTCCTGGATTTCCCGAGCTCAGCGTTGCCCACTGAGAGAGATGACTTGTAGGCCTCGTCTCTCTGAGAAAGGCAAGGCGGGGAGGGTGTACGTGAAGAGGAGTGGACTCAGGAGGAACAGACTGCTCTCTCTCCTGGCTGCAAAGTCCAGGGCCCGAGTCCACCCTTTCTGGTGACGTCCCAGGGGTCAGAATTTTGGCACGTTTTCCATCCCCTGAAGATCTCTAGGGCTGATCTTGTGAGCCTCTTTGGAGCTCCAGCATGTTAGCTGCAACATGATCTGAAGCTGACCACTTCCTCCATGTCGCAGAGACCATGGTGACACTCTCCTGAAAGACTGAAGGCCCAGGTTCCTAACAGCTCAGACAGTGCCGTGACCGACTGCAGTCTCTCCTACCCAGGGCCATCGGGCTGGTGGCGGCCACAATGCGGTCCTCGTTCTGAAGGTCCAAAGTTGATGAGATAAAAATCGCTTTCTCAGGCTTACCTCCTATTTATGTAGTACTTTGGGCCTCTAATGGCTAACAGTTATATGGCATTTCACGTGTGCCAGGCACTGTCCTACATGTCTTACGGACGATAACTCATTGAGTCCTCACATTTGGTCCTTTGAGGTAGGAACCATTATTATTCCCATTTTGCAGATGCAAAAACAGGCACAGAGAGGTGAAGTGACTTGCCTAAGGTCACGCAGCTAGTCGGGCAGAGCCTGGGTTTACACACACACCTGGTGCCAGAGTCTATGCTCTTAACTACACCAGTCTACTTCCAGCTAAAATGTTAGATTTTTTTTTTAATCTACATACACACAGAGGCAGAAAAATGATAGTCCCTGGAAATCTGAGTTTGCCGCTGGCCATCAGAGGTTTCTCCACAAAGTAGGCAGTCTTCTCTGTGTTTCAGTCTCTGGTCCTCAAGGACGACTTTGGGACCCAGATGTGCTTACTGGGAGGGGAGTGAGGAGGCGAGGGCCCCCAGGTAGAGCTCCCGCTCCAGGGAGGGAGCCGGCAGTAGCAATTGTTCAGTTGCCTTTTTCCACTCCATCTGCTGGCTGCATCTGGTCATCCCCAACATCCCAAGGCCCAGTCAGTGCCCTATACACAGTGCACAGAGCACCCAGCCCGCGGAGCACCCAGCCAGTGGAGCACCCAGCCCACAGAGCACCCAGCCCACAGAGCACTATGGTGGGAATTCTTAACAGGCACCACTTTCTCAAGACTTCTTTCCTTTCACCTGTTGGTAACTGTCTTAATCATACAACAGATCTATGGCGTCTACCGTGACACCTTAACTGAGGTGTCCTGTGCAGTGCACAGCCTGCACACCCCTGCAGGGCAGCCGCTTATCCTCCTGTGACAGCAGGTGCGAGGGCTTTGGAGTCAGGCAGGCGTGGGGTCAGCTCCCGGCTCCGCCTTTTAACCCTGGAAGATGTTGGACAAGTCCCTTCACCCTTCCAGGTGCAGTTGCTCTCTTTGTGTGTGAGGTGGGTTTGATGATAATACCCACTTCTCCAGATTGATGACCGAAGCAAATATGTAATTCGTGTAAAGTTTAAGATTGTTCATAAGTAATACATTTGGATTATCAGATGTTAGAGCTGAAAATTTCATATTTCATAAACCAAGGCTTTTTCTTTCAAACTTTCAGGAGTTCCCAGATCAGGTTGTGAGCGTTTACCCTCTTGAGGGTGGAGGAAGAAGGCTGTGTGTCTCTCCTGGTCCCTGGGCCTCGGCTCTCAATGCAGCCCCAGTAGGCACTTCTAGTAGGGCGCAACTCAACAACACTCACTTGTTGTAAGAAGCGGTCCCAAGAATCTGTCTTCGCCATTTGCTGACCTTTGCCTGAGGGGTCAGTGTGGATTAAATTTTAGCCAGCTCAGGCTCATCTTCAGTCCTGGGCAGGTCTGCTTTCTAACTGTGGTGCTTGAGAGCAGGGGATAGGGGCTCCTTTTCTTTTAAGAATTGTCAGAGAAGAAGATAGTCTTGCCCAGCACATCCCAACCATCTCAGCTGGGGAAATTTTTCCCAGTATCTAAACCAAACCCAGCTTCTAATAGTCCCTCTGTTCCACAGCAGAGGCTGTGAGTGAGTCAAAGGTGGTTTTTTCCCCTTTTCTGCACAGGGAGGTGATTTATCTTAGAAATTAAGAGGTGGACTCTAGAGTCACAAAGCCCTTGAGAAAACCAAGGTTCTCATTCTAGCTCTGCTGTTTCCCCTGCATGATCTCAAGAGCACTTGAGTTCCTCATCTGTAAAATGGGGATGATAACACCACCCTTCATCAATTCTAAGGTGTGCTTATTTTTTTTTTTCACATTTTAACAGCTCTGAAATTAGCATCGTCCCAAAATCAATTGCATCTCAGATTTGTTGAAATAAGGCAATGCTTGCCTCGCGGTGCAGTATTAAATGAGAAGGACATGCAGAAGCCTGGCCCCTCGTAGGCACTAAGTTAACAGAAGCGGATATGGTGGTTGTCATTCTTGGGATTGTTACCGTTATTATTATTTGCACATTCTGGGTCTTCTTGAGGCCTGGGCTTACCTGTACTGAAAAGTAGGATTATAATGAACAGGAACAGGAAACATGGCCAGAATAGAGTAAAGCTTTCTGGAAGTCAGTATTAGACTGCTGAATGATTCATCTACACAGCAAACATTTGTTGACCAAACACTGCCTGCAAATTATGAGGCCTATGTGGGGGACCTACAGGGATGACCAAGAACTGTGCTCAGTCAGCGAGCTCTTGTAAAGTACCTGTGGGCTCTCAGGACATCTTCATGCCTTCTGACTTGGAGTTACATCCCATGGATGTGTACATACCACTTCACATGTCCAAGGTGCTTTGCCATCATTGACCACTGACTTACTCATGCTTCCTGGGGTTACTCTGCTTCTCTCTCTGAGGTCAGTCTCCATCTTGTTACATGTTCCTGTTTGTTGTCTTAAAGATGCTGTGACAGAACTAAGCAAAGAATTTAAGGAAGCAGGAGAACCTATCACAGATGACAGCACCAGCTTGCATAAGTTTTCCTATAAACTTGAGTATCTCCTTCAAGTAAGTGACTCCTATAATGTGTTGATTTCTGCTCTGTTGTCTCTTGTTTCCCTCTTGGGTGACTCGTCAGCATTCAGGATGTGGTTCAGAAACCTCAGTGGAGCCATTAAGCTCTCCTGGTTAGACTGAAGGTCAGAGCAGTGCCCAGCGAGAGCTCGAGCCTCTGGGGAATTGTAATGTTGCCCTTTAGCATGGTTTTGGGAGTTGAGAACATGCTGTAGAGAGTTAGGTCATCTCAAGGCAGGTCACAAGGTCACTGTATAACAGGGATCTTAACTTTGGGGCAATCATATACCCTTTGGCAGTCTGGTGAAAGCTGTGGAATCTCTCCTCAAACAGACATGTGTATGTGTACACACCCAGTCACACATTTTCCAGGAGTGTGTGGACCTCTGAAGATTATCCAGAGGCTTCTGTTTTAGAGCCTTGCTGCTCAAAGTGTGGTCCATAGACCAGCAGCATCAACATCATCTGGGAGCAACATCACGTGCTGAATCAGGATCTCTGAGGTCAGCCCGGGAAGTTTTCTTTTAACACACTCACAGTGTAATGCTTATGTCTGCTTGGTTCAAGAAGCATGGATCTAGAGAACTCTGCAGATGTGGACAAATACAGGCAACTACAATAGGCAGGAAGGAAAGGGACCAAAATGTTAACAGAAGTTATCTTAGGGTGGTAGAATTAGGTCTTATAATTTTTCTTTTTTTTTTAACCCAGATTTCCTAACAAAATATTCATATCTCACTTCTATAATCAGAAAAAATGCTATAAAATATTATGTTTTAGAAAGATATACCTATATCATTTTGAACACCGTAAGTTTGCAACATCACATCCCACCAAAACCTATGGGATGACAGCCCACTGGAGGAGATGCCCCCAGCGTGTTCAAGGACTCACCTGTCACATGCCTTTTCAACTGGTTCTCTGTTTTACAATGTGAAAATATTTATGGACTTTTTTTTCAGTTAGCTGATTTTGGTTCTGGATTTGAAATGACTTATAGCTGACATTGATTTGAATTTATTGTATGTATGTTAAAACAGTATTGAGAGTTGAGTAACTGGGATAAAATGTCACTAACTCATTTCCCTAAGTTGAGACATAGTTAACCCTCTGCTTGTTGCCCTTAAGACTTTTCACTTGTATTTCTTTATCATGTTAATAGCCATTTTGGTGGTCTTCCCCCCAACTCTATGCACAGAGGTCTCTTCAAGGGATAATCTTTCTTGCGGGGCTGTTATTCCTGAATCTCACTAGTTGTGTGACCTTGAGCAGGTACTTAACCTCTACTAGCCTCAGCTTTCTCATCTGTAAATTGAGGATTAAAACACCCTTGTTTGCCTATAAATAATAATTATGCCAGTAAAGGGCCTTGCCCAGTGCCAGGCAACTAAGAAGCTGTTATTGTTTGTTATTTAAATGACGGGATGAGCAGCAGTGGTTTGGACCTCCTCTCTTTGTCCCTTTCCCTATCCAGTTCGATCAGAAGGAGAAGGCCACCCTCCTGGGCAACAAGAAGGACTACTGGGATTACTTCTGTGCCTGCCTGGCCAAGGTGAAAGGAGCCAACGACGGGATCCGGTTCGTCAAGTCTATTTCGGAGGTAAGCAGAGCAAGGAACTCAATCTTCCTCTCACCTGCCTTAAGCATCTCTTGCAGAGACCGTTGCTGCAGACAGTCAGGTGAGGAAATGGAGGTTTAGGGTTGGTAGAGAAATAAAGAAATCCAGTCCAAGTATACTCAGTACCCACTCTTAGCTCAAGGAAGCCACCTAAGTGAGCGTTTACCAAGCCGAGGGATGGCTCAGTCCTGACTCTGTTCATTAGACCATGACCCACACGTTACCTAACAGGGTGGGCTGTTCACATCATAGTTTGTTCATGGTGCCCCTCGGAGGTGTACAGCACAGGACACCCACCTTTTTTAAAAAATCAGTTTCTTAGATAAAATTCTTAGAGTTTGCTAGGCTGCTTTCCTTACAGTTTGCCCAGGACACTTGGATTTGAAATGAAGAGAGTGATGTGAGATCTCAAGAGACATTTCTTAAAATGCTGGTGTGCTGAGCAACTTCCCACATTCAGTTCTGAGCCCCTCAAGAGCAGAATTACCATGGCTTTGTGATTTTACAAAACTCCAGAACAACCACAAACACTCTCTCTCTCCCTCCCTCTCTCCCCTCTGCCATCTCTCTCCCACTCCCCTCCATCCCTCTCCCCTACCCCCAATGAATTTCTCCCCCTCTCTCTCTCTCCCTCCCTCTCATTAGCCTAGTCCATCCGGGAGTGAAGAATTTTGCATAGTAGGGAGCAAGTAAACCCCTACATTTGGGGTAGGAGGGCTGAAAGGTTTCTGCCTTTCATCTTTCTTTTCAGATCTCATCAGTAAGTTTAAAGTCGCTTTCAAGTCAGCAGACACGCTCTTGCCTGGCCTCCCACAGAGGCCATAGAGTCAGGTGCTCTGGGAGGATCTCTTTCCCAACCATGCCAGCTAGAGCCGGATGGGTTTCTTCTTATAGAGAATGACATTGAGGGCCGAGCATTTTCCACCAGCTGCACCCTCTGACATCTGAGAAAACGAGGAAAGATCCTGGCTCTGAAGAGTTTTTCCTGCAACTTTTTTTCACATCCATGTAGTGTGATGGGTCCTGTGAGAGGTGGGACACTCAGGTCTATGATATGGAGCAGTGTTTTAGTGCATCATAAATCTGGAAGGAGTTCTCATTGTCACTCTGTTATCTTCCACTCCTCAGAGCAACTAAAGCCTTCGACCACTGAAGTCTGGAAATAAATTTAGTTTAATCCTCATTCCCCAGGGTTACAAAATGCTTAAGTTTACTTTTTGGTTCGTTTCCTCTTCTTTTCTCGTAATGCACAGACCATTAGACAGTCCAAGGCCAGTGAAACTGACTTCTAGAAGCAAAAAGCACTTCCTGCTTGCACAAACATTGTTGGTTTTTTGGTGGCTGGCATGGGCTCCACTTCCCGTAGGGTCTGATTGTCTCATCTCTGTTGAAGATTCTGCTCTCTGGGGCATCATTGGGTAGAATACAGAATGTCACTAGGCCAGTGGGCTGCTGAATACTTGGGTTAACTTTAATGATCAGGTGCCATCCAGGCCAACAAGCCAGAAGGTAAAAGTCAATGGATAAGAAGCGTTGCTGGGCCCCTCAGGCCCCTTTAGGGTGAGAGGTAGCCATTTGGGCTAAAACAGTCCAAGGCTCAAATCAGCAACTTCTGGAGGTTCAGAATGGCCTTAACCTGGACTTTGTGTGTTTCACCGCAGTGGACAGGATGAGAACCAGGGTGCACCTTGGCATCTGGCTGCTGGCACAGTGGCCTGGTTTAGAGCAGAATCAGCTCACGTGTACCTTGCAGACTTCCTGTCCTTTGCTGCTGATGTATCACTTCTTGGTGTAGTGCATCTGAGTTCTGATTCGATGCTAAAAAAATTAAGAAATTAGGTAATGAAAGCAGACCCATGATCTCAAAAAATCAAAAATCAAAAAGCCGTGCAGCATTTTCGTTTGCAACGCGAGGGAACTATTGTTCCCTTCCCCAAAGGGTGTTCAGAAATATTTTTTAAAATAAATAGCTCCCTTTGTATATATAATCAATTCAGTTAATAGCCCTGATTAAAAATATAGCCTCAAATGTTTGCTGTTAAAAAAGTTTTAATGCTGTAAATGCTGTTACAAGGGCCATTTTGCTAATAAGGACAAGCCCCTCCGTTGGGAGCTTCCAGACATGGGCTGTTATGTGAGGTTCTTGTTAAATTCCATGGGCCCTATATGTGGGTGTGTCTGTACAACTGACACGCTGCACTTCACAATGCCTTGCTCAGCTCTCCTCAGCTGCCTGAGTTTCCCAGTTACCACCACTGAACACTTTGTTCTTACCTCACTCATCAGTGGGAAAAGTGTCTGGACATGGGGATGTCATCAGTTTTCTCCCCTAGGCATCTGTCATGATCAACCGTCTGCAGACAAGCCGTGCTGATAAGTCAGGCTGCCGCCTGCCTTTGTTTCCAGGCATCCTGGCTATACCCTAACCTCACAGAACTCACAGGGAGAAATGTCTTACAGCCTGTGTAGTTCATGAGATTTCACACCTTTTTATTTTTTAAAACTACTTCATATTGTGGTATCATTTCCTTGAGTCAGCAATAAGAAGATGTATAGCTCTAGCTAAAAGGCACTGTGTACCAGGATGTTTACACTGTAATCATTGACGTGCCACTGCTTGAGGCTGTGCCACGTATTGCCTGTCTCAACCCAGTGCCGTGATTGGTTTCTTAATAGTATCGTGTGTTAGGACCATCTTTTGGTGAAACCACTGCGACCTCTTGCCCCCACCACCAAGTTGCACATTTCCGACCTTTGAAGGAGTGAGGAGGGTATGGGTCCTTGCTTACCCCACTCAGAGCCAGAGCCAGAGCCTGACAGAACAGGTGCATGTGGTGGGTTGAGAGGTTTTGAATTGCTGCCTATTTATCTTAAGCTTCTGGGGCAGAAACATCGGGAGTATGAATCCTAATTTGCAAACTGGTCTCAAGTGTCTTCGGTGGCTGTCGCCTTTATCCCATTCATCTCGACAGTTGTGTGCCCTGCTTTGGCAGCCTCATGGCAGAGCCTCTGACCAGCATACCCCACCTCCATCACAACGAGCTTCCAGGAACCTCTTTAGAAACCACATTTTGGCTCTGTGGGGAGACGTTTCAAGACATGCCTGCGCCTGGACCCCCCATCTATCTCAGACTTTCTAAAACAGAACCACGCCCATTTTTGTGTTACCCCAGTGTGGTTGGGCCCCTAGAGACACTCCTGCTCTCACCCCGTGGGTACCTTCTGACTAAATACAGTGACTTGTGTAGCTTAAAAGAAATCCAACCAGGAAAGCATTGACAGATACATGGATTTTACTGATGGTCTCATGAGGACACAGAGGAGGCAATTATACATCCTTCAGAACTTCTTAACAGGCCCCCTTAGCACCTCTGCCCTTTGCCCTCCTCTCTTCTCCCTTCCACAAGGGCTCCAGCTGAGCCCTTTAGGCCTCTTCCTCTGAACTTCTTCTTCCAGCACCTCAAAAACAAGCCCAGATAATGTCTCATCTCTCGCTCAAGCTCACTCCTGGTATGAGAAGCCCTTCATTTACCTCCAAGTTTTATTCTAAATATTCCCAATTAAATCAAACAGTTTTATCTCTGACTCCAAACCCAGAGACTCTGATGGAGCAGAGGATAGACAATGACATTCCAGTGGAATCCACAGGTGTTTGAGAGCCTCCCATGAATATATCTTCCTTGACATGTTCACTGGAGTCTACAGATTATCCTCCGAAGGAGGCCTGCAAGAAATCCACCCACTTCAAGCCTCGTGCTCCGGGGCAACGTGATCAAATGTTTTCTCTCCTTTGAGGGACATGAGAGCGAAGCCAATGAGTAAGGGGGAATTGGGTGACATTTTTGCCCTATTTCTGTTTTTTGCAAGCCGTCCTCATCCATGAGGCCAAGTCTATATATGGAGTTAGGCTTACAGCTCTTCATTTCTACGTAATGTACTTTTTCCAGCTCCGAACATCTCTGGGAAAAGGAAGAGCATTTATTCGCTACTCCTTGGTGCACCAGAGGTTGGCAGACACCCTACAGCAGTGCTTCATGAACACCAGAGTGACCAGGTAATCCATGACGGTGCTGGACTTTACCCCTACCATTCACAAATGAACTGAAGCCCCCTCAGTAGTAATGACAGCTGCAGCAGCAGTGCCCGTTTGTGTCACACCTTGGTACAAGCAAAGCCCTTCCACATCTGTTGTCCTCTTCTACCCTCCCTACCGCAGTCCCTGACACATGTGGGGCAGGTAGCACTGAATGTTTACAGGGGGGGTAAATGAGGCTCAGAGAGGCTAAATGCCTTTATCCAGGCCCCACCAGTGCTGAGTCATAAAGCAGGAGCTTGGGTCCAGGTCTTTTAACTCCTAGTGCCAGGTAGTTTTCCCTGGTGGGTGGCATGTCGTTGGTGCTGGCATGAAAGAATGGACACACCCCACTGGCCACCCTGGACCAATGGGTTGCAGCCTTGGCCTCTCAGCAGAATCACCTGTGGCATTTTTAACACACCTGAGCCCGGGGCCTCACCTGAGACCCTGAGTCAATACCTGCTGGGTGTGTCTGGGCTCCTGGAGATTGTGGTGGGCGACCAGACTGGGAGCCGCTGCCGGTGCCTGGTTCCTCTGTGGTCAGCCTTTGTGCCAGGGGAGGAGTGATTGAGCGTGCAAAGGGAGAGAGGGTGTCACATGAGGAGCTGCGGGTCAGGTACCATCAGCTAAACCTCTGTGGGTTGCCCAGCATACCTTTTCCAGCTCTGCCTCCCCTCTCCCTAGGGAGTGTTTCCAGTTATTCAAAGAAATCACTTCTGAATTAAGAAAAAGCTTTTGGGGGAAAAATATTTTGTTTCATTTTGTCACTTTTAAGATTGATTTGCATAAAGATGTATTTATTGTGCATGTGACAGGCTTTGTGAATTCATGAGAATTGAGAACCTTCGCACATTTGATCTGAAGGTGATTTTGTTCCAGATGTTTGATGAAAATCATCATAAACAGCTTGACTTGCAGTGTATCACAGTTCACCCACATCAGCCAAGTAGCTCTTTAAACTCATCAGTGTGTTGTTTTTTTTCTGTGTGTGTGTGTGTGTGAGGAAGACTGGCTCTGAGCTGACATCCATTGCCAATCCTCCTCTTTTTTTGCTGAGGAAGATTAGCCCTGAGCTAACATGTGTGCCCATCTTCCTCTATTTTGTACATGGGATGCCACCACAGCGTGGCTTGATGAGTGGTGCATAGGTCCGCACCTGGGATCTGAATTGAATTCTCCAGAAGGAATAGAAGATGAGATTATCTTTCAAAAAGGAAACATTCTTTCCCCTACAACTGCCCTTTCTTGGCAAGTAATTGAGACTTGTTTTCTCGTATCTTTTGGGGGAAATAGATATGATATAAATAATAAATGAATAAGTAGTTCATTTCAGTACTTTCCTTGAAGAAGAGCAAGCTTATTTGAGAATTATGTGCTCCTACAGTGGAAATCAAATTGGAGTGTATGTGTGTGTGTTTCTGTCTGAGTTTAATTGATTTAGTAATCTGGGTTGGAACTTGGTGAGGCAGAGCCATACGGGGAGGACTGATGAAATTCACTTTCCTTATCTTTATTACTCTTATAATTGATACATTTTTATGTTTCCCTGGAGTGACTGGTACTATGCAAGAAGCCCCTTTCTGAAGCCAAAGCTGAGCTCTGACATCGTGGGCCAACTCTATGAGCTGACTGACGTTCAGTTTGACCTGGCATCGAGGGGCTACGACTTGGATGCTGCCTGGCCGACATTTGCCAGGTATTTTGAAGAATTGCTTGGTTTAAAATCGGGAGGAAGAGGTGTTTGAAGTTTTGAAGATTGCCACCAGTCTACTCAAAGCAATTTTGCTTGCTCAGTGAATTACATAAAGCTTTGCAACTCTTACGCCTGCTAATTTTACAGACTTTGTTGAATCATTACTAACTTGTGAAGGCTCCGACCTTAAACTAACCTTAATTAGCCAGGTGGTATGAGTCAGTAGCCATGCATATGTAAAATTCAAGGTTTTTTAAATGTGCTAAGGAACTTGTTGCCGTGGGAATCACAGGCATGGGGGGAAGTGGGCTTTTTCTCATTTGTGTTCTTACAGAGTGATCATGGAGGCCTTCTTGGCAGTGAGAGAGGAGTGAAAGCTACAGCTCGTCCACATGAGGGTTGCTGGACAGGTCGCTGTATTTTCATTTCTTACACCAGCATGGCACTCACATGCCATCCAACTGAATCCTCACAGTCACTCCAGGAGGGCGTTGCTGAGGAAGCAGGCTCAGAGAGTGGAGGAATTTGCCCAAAGTCACACAGCTGGTGGGCAGCAGGGCCAGGACACCAGACTCGAGTGTCCAGCATTCTTTGTTTTGTTTTGCATTTTGTTAGTAAGGTTTTTCTAATTTCGGTTGTCATGTTTTTTGTTAGGAAATATTTTCTATGTAGAGAAAAGTACTGAATTGAATGATACCCATGTGCCAACCACCAGGATTTAATAGCTAACATTTTGCCATATTTACTTCACATGTTCTTTATAAAACTTGAATTTTGAAATCATTTCAGAATTACGGAAAAGTTGCAAAAACAGTACAGAGTACTCATCTGTCTTTCCCCTCAGTTCCCCAGTTTTCAGTATGTTTTATCATTCTTTCTCTTTATATTTACGTGTTGGTCTATTTCCTAAGCCATTTGAAAGTAAGTTACAGACTTGATTCCCGTTTATTCCTAAGTACTTCATTGTGTATTTCCTGAAATCAGGGACATCCTCTTATATAACCTCAGTACAATTATTAAAGTCAGGAAATTAACATTGGTATAATACTGCTATCTAATTTACAGACCTTATTCAAATTTCAAGAATTATCCCAATAATGTCTTTTATAATCTGGGATCCAATCCAGGATCACATGTTGCAGTTAATTGTCATGTCTCTCTAGTCCTCTTTAATATGGAACAGTTTCTCAGTCTTTGTCTTTCATAGTATAGACATTTTTTAAAAGTACAGGCCACTTATTTTGTGAAATCTTCCTTGAATTGAATTTGTCTAGTGTTTCCACGTTATTAGTTTCAGGTTAAGCATTTTTGGCAGGAATATCCCAGATGTTGTGTCCTTCTCAGCACATTATATTCAGAACACACGATGCTAATTTGTTTCATTACTAGCGAGGTTAACCATCATCATTTGGTTATGGTGGGGTTTGCTAGGTTACTCCTGAAGTTACTATGTCTCCCTTTGTAATTAATATGTATCTTATGGGAAGATACTTTGAGATTAGGTTTTTATCCTGTTTCTTTTCAATCTCTCACTGGTTAGTTTTAGCATCCATTGGTAATTCTCACCTGAGTCAATTTTTGTCATGATTTTCCAAGTGATTTTCTGTGTCCATTATTCCTTCTACATTAGTAGTTGGCATTCTACTGTAAGGAAGATCTTTTCCTTCTTACCCATTTATTTATTCTATTATATCAGTATTGACTCATGGATTTTTATTTTATTCAGTGGGTTCAGTTCAATTCTGTCACTGTAATTATGTCCCATATTTGGCTTTCAGGCTAGTTCTTGTGGGGGGCATTTTGTTATGTCTGATACATTTTTTTTTAAGAAATAAAATATTACAGATCCAAATAAAGCCCTACCCCACTGCCATCCTTTCCCCTTCTCTCCCTTTCTAGAAGTAATCATAGCCCTGTAGTTGATGTGTGTCATTCCCAAATATTTTTGTTTTACTATGTGTGTATTTATAAATATTTTATATATATAGTTTTACTTTGTATGTATTTTTAAATTTGCATACATTGAATCATGAGCTAACTATCCTCTTGCAACTTGCTTTTTTCATTCCACATTGTTTTTGAGATTTTTATCTATTTGCACATGGAATTCTATAGATGTAAAGTAGGGACCTGGCAAACCACGGCCCGTAGGGCTGTGTGAAACCCAGCCTCGCCCATTCATTCGCGTATTGTCCATGGCTGCTTTCATGCCACAGTGGCAGAGGTGAGTTGTTATGACAGAGACCAAAAGGCTTGCAAGCCCGAAGTATTTACTACCTGGCCCTTTACAAAAAGAGATTGCCAACCCATAGTGTGGAATATTCTGTTGTGCAAATAAACCACAGTTTATCTGTTTTTTTAGTGATATAGAGTTAGACTGTTTCCACTTTTTCCACCATTACTGTGCTGCCAGGCGCACCCCCATATGTCTCCTTATGCACGTATCTGACTGTCTTTAGGGTACATCCTGAGGGGTGGAATTGCTGGGTTGTGGAGAACAACAGATTTTAAAATACAATAACTGTAGGTTAGGGAGAAGATTCTGTTTAAATAAAAATGTGTGTCGTTTGCAGTGTTCCTACTAGACAAGATTTATCACACAAGTCTGTGTGTGTCTAGTCTAGTGCTGTCAAATAGAACTTTCTGCAATGAGGGAAATGTTCTATACCTACACTGTCTAATGCAGTTACATGAGCTAGAAGCAGGTCTTGCAGCCATATTACATATTTGTAAAGTGGTGACCATGATCCCCTAAGCACAACGTGACCTTTATTTACCAGATTGACTACTGCTTATTCCTCACTAGCAGACAATGGCAGGCACCAAAGTTTCAAAGAAAATTTAAACCAAATATTGGGAAATATTATGTTCACTTGGGTCTTTTTTGTCAGTGAGAGGAAGGCCATCATGTTTAAACTTTAGCAGTGGAGTCCATCTGCTGCAGATCATCGTAAATGTGCTCTTTGGTGGAAACTGTTGGGTTTTGCCTTCTTATGCTCTATATGGGCGGGCATTGCCCGTTACCACCACCTTGTTGCCTGGTGACAGCCAAGGCCTCCCTGTGTGTGTCTGTGTGTCTGTGTGTCTGTGTCCTGCTCTGATACAAGTGTGTCTGTTCTGTGGCCCCACAGGAGGACACTGGGCACCGGCTCTTCTGCTTACATGTGGAAACCCCCCAGCCGGAGCTCCAGCATGAGCAGTTTGGTGAGCAGCTACCTGCAGGTAATGCCAGACAGGCTGGGGATTTCCTTGCTGACACCATACTCTGGTGTCAACCAGAGTATGTCCTTGCCCCTCACAGCTCAGGCTGATGTTCTCAGATGCCTGTTGTTCCAACCAGAGCCATATAAATCCTCAGTTATACCCACTGTTTCCTAGAGTCCAGGTTTTTATAACCAAATAGAATTTAGGCCTTTTAAAAGTTAAAATTTTAAGAAATCTTTTAAAGTATTTTAAAAGAAGCAGTTTAGCAATGTGGTTAAAAGCAGCAGAGTCAAATCCTGACTGTCACCTATCAGCTCTGTGACCCTGAGAAAATCACTTACCCCCTCGAAGCTTCAGCTCTCTCGTCCATAAATGAGGGTCATAAAAATCATTCTTGCTCATAAGACAGTTGTGGGATTGAATGAGGGAGCACGTGGACAGTGCTCGAGGGCTTGTCATAGGCAAGTGCTCACTAAGTGTTAGTGGGTGGGGTTAGTTTTGTTAATTTTGTTAGAAATGTGAATGTATCATAGCCGTATATAGACTTGTGGGAAAGAACTCTGAAATTATTCAGCAAAACAATAAAAATAACGTAAGAAGCATTAAGAGTATAGAATAGACTAAACTTTTACCTTATTTTGTGGTTTAATCACAACAGAAGTTGTGCATATGGTGCAATGGGTGAACAGTAGTTTAAATATAACTTAATTTATCTGAGAGCCAACACCTATTATGTTGCTAAAGCTACAGGAGTCTGGACGGGAAGTGCGAGTTCCGAGTCTCAGTGGAGCTCACACGTGTGGTGTCGTGTCTTTAGAATGTGCTGCTGACCTCCTTCAACAGATGCTTTGAGCAAAGCAGTTGTAGTCCTTCGAATAGCTCGATAGACTAATCTTAGGTCATGTAATTGCTGTGTTTTTACTTCTGTTCTCATTAGACTCTAAAGCTTTTCCAAGGAACCATGTAGCTTCATCCCAAAGGCGCTTGTTTTTTGTTTTTCATCCCCAGAATCAGGAGATGGCCTCCAGCTTTGACCTGAACAGCACCTTAAACAACGAAGCACAGGAGGGCTTTGACGAGATGCGGCTGGAGCTGGACCAGTTGGAGGTGCGGGAGAAGCAGCTACAGGAGCAGATGCAGCAGCTGGACAGAGAGAACCAGGAGCTGAAGGCAGCTGTCAGTTTGCAGGGAGAGCAGCTGCAGATGGAGAGGGAGAGGAGTCGTGCTGCAGCTGAGGACAACGCTCGCCTCACTTGCCTGATGGCTGAGCTCCAGAAGCAGTGGGAGCTCACCCAGGCCACACAGGACACCGTGAAGGAGCTGAAGAAGTGCCTGCAGGCCCTGGAGCTGGGTGCAGCAGAGAAGGATGAGGATTACCACTCAGCCCTGCGGCGGCTGGAGTCCATGCTGCAGCCCCTGTCACAGGAGCTCGAGGCCACACAGGACTCTCTGGGCAGGAAGAATCAGCATTTAGCTAATGTCGCAGACCAGCTGTGCACGGCTGAGCAGAAGGCAGAAACGGCACTAGACACAAAGGGACAGCAAGAGTGCATCCCCAGTGACTCAGCCCTAGAGATCCAGCAGCTAGGCGAGAAGCTTCAAGCCCTAGAAGGGGAGAATACCAAGGTCCAGGAGCTCAGTAGGCAGCAAAGTGCGCAGCTGGAACAGCTGGCCAAGGAGCTGCAGCTGAAGGAGGAGGCCCAGGCCAGCCTGGAGCGCCTGGTACAGGAGATGGCCCCACTCCAAGAAGAGCTGTCTGGGAAGGGGCAAGAGGCAGCCCAGCTCCGGCAACAGCTACAGGAGGCGCTGGCCCACTTGAGCTCCCTGGAGGAAGAGCTAGCGGAGGTGAGGCGGGAGGCACAGCGGCGGTGGGAGGAGAAGGAGCAGCTGGAGCAGGAGGCCAGGTCCCTGACACGGCAGCTGCGACTCCTAGAGACCCAGCTGGCACAGGTGAGCCAGCACGTGAGTGACCTGGAGGAGCAGAAGCAGCAGCTCATCCTGGACAAAGACCACCTCAGCCAGAAAGTGGGGATGCTGGAGCAGCTTGCTGGGCAGCCGGGCCCAGATCTGCCCATGGCGGATGGAAAGAGTGAAGCTCTGGGCCCCCTCAACTCCACCCTGCAACAGGCCTTGGATAAGCCAGAAGAGGAGCAAAGGGATCTGCAGGAGGGACAGATGGACAATACCAAGATGCTAGGGGGCAGCCAGCAGGAGAAGCTCCAGCAGGCCAACAGGGAGCTGGAGAAGGAGCTGCAGAATGTGGTTGGGCGCAACCAGCTCCTGGAGGACAAGCTTCAGGCCCTGCAGGCTGATTACCAAGCCCTGCAGCAGCGGGAGGCAGCCATCCAGGGCTCCCTGGCCTCCCTGGAGTCAGAGCAGGCCAGCATCCGGCACTTAGGTGACCAGATGGAGGCAAGCCTCCTGGCTGTGAGGAAGGCCAAGGAGACCATGAGGGCCCACGTGGCAGAGAAGGAGGCTGCCCTGCAGAGCAAGGAGGCTGAGTGCCAGCAACTGCAGGAGGAGGTGGAGCAGTGCAGGCAGCTGGCAGAGGCCCGGGAAGGGGAGCTCAGAGCTCTTGAGAGCCGGTGCCTCCAGCAGACCCAGCTGATCGAGACCCTCACAGCAGAAAATGGCCCACAGGGGCTCGGCCCACCTCAAGACAATGCACCCCATGAGCTGGCAGCCCAGCTAGCCCTGTCTCAGGCACAGCTGGAAGTCCATCAGGGGGAGGCTCAGCGGCTGCAGGCTAGGGTGGTGGACCTCCAGGCCAAGCTCCAGGCAGCCCTGGATGACCAGGAGAAGGTACAGAGCCAGCTGAGCGTGGCTGAGGCAGCTCTGAGGGAGCACAAAGCCCTCGTGCAGCAACTGAAGGAGCAGAACGAAGCCCTCAACAGGGCCCACGTCCAGGAGCTCCTGCGGTGCTCGGAGCACGAAGAGGTGCTGCAGGCGGAGAGGGCTGATGAGGCCCAGCAGAGGGAGGATAAGCTCAAGGCCCTGCGGGAGGAGCTGTCCCAGGCGAAATGCAGTTCGCAAGAAGCCCAGCTGGAACATGCTGAGCTGCAGGAGCAGCTGCACCGGGCCAACACAGACACAGCCGAGCTCGGCATCCAGGTCTGCACACTGACTGCGGAGAAAAAGCGGGTAGAGGAGGCACTGGCCTGCACAGTCCAGGAGCTCCAGGATGCCAAAGAGGTGGCCTCAAGGGAGCGAGAAGGCCTGGAACACCAAGTGGCAGGCCTGCAGCGAGAGAAGGAGAGCTTGCAGGAGAAGCTGAAGGTGGCTGAGGAGACAGCCAGCTCACTGCCTAGCCTGCAGGCCCAGCTGGCCCAGGCTGAGCGGCGGGCCCAGAGCCTCCAGGAGACTGCACACCAGGACCTTGACACCCTCAAGTTCCAACTGAGCGCCGAGATGGTGGACTGCCAGAGCAGACTTAAGGTAATCCTAGCCTTGACCATCTGGCTGCGCCTGTCTCCTGCAGCAGGGCCTGGGGGGTCCACGAGAGGATAGGATGATGCACCTTCGGCCATGTGGCACGTGAGGGCCCAAGAGTGTACTGGGGGCCCAGGCAAACACGGTCCCGTCCTGCTGTCATAGCTCACAGCGTCCTTCTCCCTGCGGGAACGTGTTAGGACACAGTGTCGGGGAGTGATGCCTTAGCCCAGAAGTCTAAACTCAAGGCCGTTACATACAAGTTTGGCCAACAGAGAATTTTTTTTTCACTGGGAAAGATTCACCCTGAGCTAACATCTGTTGCCAATCTTCCTCTCTTTTTTTTTTTTCCTCCCCAAAGCCCCAATACATAGTTGTATATTCTAGTCGTAAGTCCTTCTAGTTCTTCTGTGTGAGCCATCGCCACAGTATGGCTACTGACAGACGAGTGGTGTAGTTCCACACCTGGGAGCTGAAGCCCAGGCCGCCAAAGCAGAGTGTGCCAAACTTTAACCACTAGGCCATGAGGACTGGCTCTGAAAATTTTTTTAAAATTAATAGCCAACATTTAAAGAGCAGGATGTTTACAAATTCAGTTTGGAGGCTTCTTTTGAAATCTTGGAAAATCTTAAAGCCTGTGCCCTCATTCCCATATGGCAGGAGTCGGCAGCCTCCGGGTGGTGGCTACCCACTTTGAAGGAGACACACATCCTCTGGTGTTGTCCTTACACTCATTTATGGACTTGCCCAGTTCCTGTGGGCATGTGAGTTGGAGACCCCTGCCCTAGCCTCTGGACCCTACTGCAGAATGCTAACGGTTCCTGATAGCCTCGAGTCCTGCTCTGGGTTCTCTGTCCCTTTGGGCACTATCCTGATAGCAGGTGCAGTTGTAGGGAACTGACTCAGTTAGTTTTCACAAAGCCCTTGGGATAGACGAGCTTAAGCAGCGGTTCTCATGTGCCTTTGAGACTGCACAAAGAACAGGGTTCGGAGTGAGCGTACAGGCGGACAGCCACGGCCTTTGCTTTCCAGTGCTTATTACTTGTCTGTTTGCGTGGAGGTCTGTGCTCTCAGACCACTCCCGACCCTCCGCTTTAGGCAACTGCTGCATTTCCACAGATGTGCCTCCCACCCTGTGTCACCCCACCCCGTGCAGCTCCATGTGGCTCAAGAGGCCACTTTTTCCCTTGCAGAAATTAAATTCTAAGTTTGAGGACCAACCTAAGTCTCTTAATAAGCTTGAAAGTGTTTTGTTACCAATAAACCCCAAAGCTTATTGAGTTTGGAGAAAAAGAGAGAGAGAGCTTGTTTTTAACCATTTGGGGGAATGGGGCTAAGGGAGTCTCAGAACAAGGACCCCAGTTTTGCAACCCCTTTCTCTTCCTCTCCAGGCTGCCAGTGAAGAGTGTAGGAGCCTCAGGGGCCAGCTTGAGGAACGAGGCCGGCAGCTGCAGGCCGCCGAGGAGGCTGTGAGGAAGCTGAAGGTAGGCCCCGGCCTGTGCGGCCTGGGATAGTGTGCTTTGCGAGCCCTGATCAGCGGCTGGCTGGTCAGACTGGTGTGCTGGCCTCTGCCTTGTCATTCCACTCCCGGTGTGTGGACCTGTCAGGGAGGGGGATCTGGTTTGGTTTCCACCGGACCATTGAAGAGGGCTCCCTCCAAGACTTCCGGTTCCCAAACTGAAGCCGTCATCAGTCTACCTTTTAGACACCCTGGGTCTGTATCACAGCCCCCTTCCACTCCTTGGACACCTGGCTGGAGCTGCCCAATGTGTTTTTCACCCAGCCCCTGTGTCTTACGGAAAGGAAATAAGTTGTCCTTCTTAGCTGTCTCTGCAGGCATGCTCTAAGTCATTGAGTCTGAACTGAGAAGGAGCAGGGGTGGCGCTGAAATCAGTCTTCAGGGAAGTGACTTTTTTAAATGCCCTCTGCTCCCTGCCACCCCACCTTGGAGATTCTGATACCTGCTGCCCCTCCAATCACCACAAACAGTTGCAGTTGATGCTTGAGGGATATAACTATAAAAAGGAGTGTGTCAAACTCCGCAAATATAGAACAAAGGTTCCGGGCCTCTTGAACTTAAAAACAAACAAAAGCCCCTCTGGTTAGAAGTGACCCCGCCAGATAGGGTGACTGGTGGAGAGCACACCAGCAATTTTAAGGCATCTTGCACGGGCTTTTGCAAGCTGAGTGTCTTCTCCCTGATGTCCTGTGCCAGGCCGTCCAGGCAGATATGGGAGAGAAGCTGAGCTGCACCAGCAATCACCTTTCAGAGTGCCAGGCCACCTTGAAGAAGAAGGACGAGGAGGGGGCTGCCCTGCGTGAAAACTTGGACAGGTTAGTTACACAGTCCACCCACGCGGCCAGTGGTAGAGGCTTCAGGGAAGTGGGTGTTTGGTAAAGTCATTAGGAAGTCAGCCACTCATATCAGGTTAAAGAAGTCCTTTTATAAGAAAAGCCACAGACTCAGCGCTTGTGTCAGAAGCAGACCACAGAGGACCTGGCAGTGTGCCTGTCACAACCCTATTGACATCTGCAGAACTTCACTCTTAATTCCATTTTCTGATCTCTGGCAGGACATATTTCAGTTCAGTAACTTCATGCTTTGGAAAAACTAACATGAAATAAAAGTTGGGATATAATATAATAATAACAGGAAACATTTAAATAATGCCTAAAATGAGGCAGGCACTGTTTTAAGTACTTTTCATCTATTTGCCCATTTAATCCTCCCACCAGTCCTATGAGGATGGTATTATTACTTATCCTCATTTTATAGATGCGGAAAATGAGGCTCAGCGGAGTTAAGTCGCTTTCCCAGGGTCAGACTGTGTGTAAGTGATGGTGGTAGGATTAGAACCCAGACCATTTGGCTCCAGAGTCTGTTTTCTCAATAACTATCCTAAAAAATATATAGACAGACAGTTTTGTGTTTTGTTTTGTTTTAGGGTACTGGCATGTGTGTGTGCGTATTTTCCCCACTATGAAGTTTTTTTTGTTTTTTTGTGTGAAGATTAGCCCTGAGCTAACATCCACTGTCAATCCTCCTCTTTTTTGCTGAGGAAGATCGGCCCTGGGCTAACATCCGTGCCCATCTTCCTCTCCTTTATGTGGGACATCACCGCAGCTTGATAAGCGGTGCATCGGTCCGCACCCGGGACCAAACCTGCTGACCTCCAGCCACCAAAGTGGAGCGCGCGAACTTAACTGCTATGCCACCGGGCAGGGCTCTCCACTATGAGGTTTTGACTTGAGTTTTTCCTCGTTTCCTCTGCGTGGAGGTTAGGTGTGGGGTTCTCCCAAGCTCGTCACGAGACTGTGTGTGTGCTCTAGGAACCAGGATCGGCTTGTCCTCCTGCAGATTATGGTGCTGTGTCTGTGGAGAGCGCATCATGCTGTCACCCTTTCATCATGATTTTTTTAACCTTAAAGTATGGCCCTATTTGTGGCCAGCCCCAAGGCCTCCCGAGCCTCCTTGTCTTCAGGCTTGGGGGCCACCTGGAGTAGTGAGCGTGAGCCGACCATCTGGTGATGAGGCCAAGCTCATCCTGCTGGGGCCTGATTAAAGCAGGGCTAGCAGGAGGAGGGGCTGGGAGCGAACTGCATGTGTGCCGCCAGCAAAGACGGGCACACCAAAGTATCCTGAGGCTTTAACTTTTCTGCCCATCCCTCATCTCCTCCTACCCACTGCCGTCTAGCCTGGGCCCAGGCTCAATAGGAGATCCAGAGCATGCTGGATGTTCAGTAACCTGAGTGTACGTTTCTTCTCATCTGACTTTTCCAGAGTTCGAATGCTCTAGGGCTCTGGCTGCCGTTAGCCAGGTCACGTTCACGTGACGCTTTAAAGCAAGAGAACCTCCTAAGTTGGTGGTATTTAAAAAAATGCTGTAACAGTGGTTATTTGTAAGATCTCAGAGCAGTTGTTTTAGCGGCTCAAAGTTGCATAATCCATCTACCCAGCATTGGGTTTTATTTTATTCAGAGAGAGAGAGAGAGTGTGTGTGTGTGTGTACACCCATGAGAACATTTTGGTATACAGTGTCTAGTAAACAACCTCCTGACAACTTTATACTGGACGTACAGAACAGAACTCCTTAGGCCTTGGGGCTATCAGGCAGAACACTTGGCAGCGCAAACTGAGTGCCGGCTGTGTACCCAGTGCCAAGCCCATGTGTAGAGTCCCAAAGACAGGTGAGAGACAGATCTTCCTCTGTGTGGTCACCTCTAGGAAGCTACACCTCTGTTCTTTCTGTCCTGACTCCTTTTCCCTCTTGCAACACCCCGCCCCCCATCATCAGCACATGAGCCTCACCCATTGGGCTCTTCTCATAACTTCAGTCCCTGCCCAAGAACCAAGTGTGCAGACTCAACTCACCCTGGAGTGCTCCTGGCGACCTGAGGTCAACCTGCTCTCCCTGAATGCCCCTTATATTTGGTGTGGGAGGTGGTGGTGTGTGAGGGAAGTCTTGAAGGCTAAGGGAGTGCCCCACCTGTGAGTGGAGGGTGCTGAGGGGCTCCCCCACTGTGAACGAGGAAAGGCTGGGAGGGCAGTGGGACCCTTGATTAGAGGCCTGGGTTAGCCCAGAGACATGGGGAAGCTGGAAGTAGTGGATAAGGAGGAAAACTTACCACTTGCCCGCCAGGACCCAGAAGGAACTTCAAAAAGCCACGACAAAAATCCAAGAGTATTACAACAAACTGTGCCAGGAGGTGACAGACCGGGAGAAAAATGATCAGAAGATGCTCGCTGACCTGGATGACCTGAATAGAACCAAAAAGTACCTGGAGGAGCGGCTGATAGAGCTGCTCAGGTGAGTGTCAAGACAAACGGGACAAGCAGTTTAGTTTTTCTTTAAAGCAATGCAGCTGTTCTTGAAAGGACACTTCAAGGGAAATGGGCCCGTCTGCTTGCGTCCTGTTGCTAAGGGCCCACACGTACAGGGTCTGCTTGGCCTTCGCAGCCTTGTAAGAGTGGGTTTCACTCTTCCCAGTAGTGCTCATCTGGGTTTGTGTTTTCATATTGCTGTGTAATTATTTTCTAAATATCTGTGTGCTTAGCCCCAAGACCAATAATAAATGATGTTTAATATCTTCAAGAATTTCCCCATTCCCTTGCCCCTCTTTCATGAGTGCATTTCTCCATACCATTTTCCCGAGTACTGGGGTCCCAAACTCCGGAGCCTGCGCGGAGCAGACAGCTAACGGAAATGTGAGAGCTGGGCTGGGAGAGGACTCAGGAACTGGAGGGCACAGCGCGCTCTGCTCTTGCCGTTTGTCACCACACAGGATTGTCAGATCACCTTCTTTCTTAAGAGCAAGGGGAAATCTGAATTTTTATGTGCAATTGTCCTGACTTTTAAATATTGGCAAGTCATTCAAAAAAATTTTTAACTTTTTCTTGTAGAAATTTTCAAACATACAAAAATAGGGTAGCATAATGCACCCTTGTGTACCTGTCACCCGGCTTCAACATTCTTCAACTCATGGCTGATCCTGTTTCATCCAGAGTCCCACCCATCTCCCCCACCTCCCCAGATTATTTTGAAGCAAATCCCAGATATCAGATCATTTCATCCTCAAATATTTCAGTACGTACCTCTCGAAAACAAGGACTCTCCCTTTTAAACAACCACAATATCGATACCACACTTAAAATTAACTGTAATTCCTAATATCATCAAATATCTAGTCAGTTTCAGATTTTTCCAATTCCCTTATAATTTTTCCTAATCAGGATCTAAATTAGATCCATACAGTGCACACTGATGTGTTTTTTAGATCTCCTTTAGTCTGTGGGTTCCCCCACCATCTCTCTAATGTGTTTTTTTTTTCTTTGCAATTTACTTTTGAAGAAGCCAGGTCATTCATCTGGTAGTTTGCCGTAGCCTGGATTTTGCTGATTGCGGCACCGTTGTGTCATTTAACATGTTCTTCCAACCTTTATATTTCCTGTAAACTGATAGTTAGAACTAGAGCAGTGGTTCTGAACCCTGGCTGCACATTAGAATCACTAAGGGAGCTATTAAAATGATACCTATGTCCAGGCCCCACCCAGACCAACTGAACTGGAATTTCTGTAAGTGGGGTCCAGACATCAGTGAGCCAGAGTTGAGGACCACTGCTCTACTAGAGGCTCGCTCAGACTCAGGTTCAAAATTTTGGCAAGAACACTTCATAGAATTGGTTTATAGTTTTGGGTCTTCCCTTCAACAGCCATGTAAGACCTGATTAGCCTTTTCTTTGCAATGTTAGCAGCCATGGATAAGCAATGCCTAAATCTACTAATTCATTTGGGGTTGCAAAATGGTGATATTAAATTGTAACTAATTTGAAAATTTAAAAACTCTGCCCACATGTCATCAATTTGCACACTTGGAATTCAGGGCATTTGTGACCTCTGAGCTCAGACGTCTCCCGAGGTGTGTGATGAGAAGGCCCAGGTCTGACAGCATTCCCACATTCCCAGGGTATGGGTGCTTGGCCTCCTAGGGACAGAAAGGACAAGCTATGGACCAGCTGGGAGGACAGTGCTGGTCTGGAGAATGAGTCTTCCTGCTTCCTGAAATTTCTAGCATCCTTGAAAAGCCAATCAATTCCATGTTCTGGCTTTTGTATTTAAGGGGAATGGTCTGTGGTTCAGTTGGAGTCCCTGGCTACTGATGAAGGCAGTTTCTCTCAGACCCTAAGTGGCTCTGGTGTTAGTCATCAGTGGCTCAGGTGCTGCCGGGGTCACATAACTCTCAGGATGGTGGCTGGGATTCATTCGGGAAAGGACTAAACCTTCCCATGTCAGAAGCCATTAGCCCTGAAAATGACCATTAGCAGCAATACGGAAGTCTCTATACACATCTTCCCTGGTGCATCAGGCATATTTGGACACTGCCAGACCTTTCTGAAGAGCCTCCACTTGTTTTAGTCTTGCTTCCTGGAGTAGTGGTACTGTCTCTCTGAGGAGTAGGGAAGATTAACATCCCATCAGATTTTCAGGCTGGGAAATCTTTGATCTTCTCCAATGATTAGTTGTTATTTGAACAAACTATAAAAGCGTAAAGGGCCCTGAGCACATTTAAGATTTGGGTGAGCAGTATATTCATGGTCCTGGGGCTCACGGCACACAGACTGTCCTGTAATCATGACAGCACATTATAGCTTAAACTCCCAGTGGCCATATGCACGTCATTTAGAGGCCTGAGCAGTGTGTGACCCTTGTCGATGCTGGCAGCTCTTTGCAGTTGCCAGAGCCTTTCGTGTACTTTGTGGGCCTCCTGTGCGCCTTCACATGTGTGGTGTCAGTTAAGGGCCTGCAGGTTGGAGGGTCCCGCTGAGTCTAGGCCTGAGGTGGGCTGACAGAGGAGACCGAGAATGGGAGTATTTCCAGAGTAAAGCAAATCTCCTTCTGTGTCTTAGGAAATTTGGAATCAGTCTTTTGAAATAAATCAGGGATAATTCTGTTGTTTTCATGGATTCTTTCTTCTTTTTTCCTAATGTGGCTTTGTCTCAGGGACAAGGATGCTCTCTGGCAGAAGTCAGATGCCCTGGAATTCCAACAGAAGCTCAGTGCTGAGGAGAGGGGGCTCGGGGACACGGAGGCGAACCACTGCCTTGACTGCAAGCGGGAGTTCAGCTGGATGGTGCGGCGGCACCACTGCAGGTCAGCGGGCAGCTCACAGGCTGGCACCAAAACTCTGGCGGGGCCCAGGACCAGAGCAAACGGCTCTGAGTGAGGAATCTGTACATGCGTTGGCACGGTGGCTGACTGCCTAGGAAGAGCACATTGCCTTTTGGTTGTGAGGGCCCCAAGCGAGGAGATTGTATTTGGCAGGGTCCTAGCAGGACACTCAGGGATCCCTGAAAGGGAAGAGTTTAATACAGGGAGGGGTGTCGGCAAAGTTCAGGGGACCCACAGGGATGTGGAACACCCAGAGAGCAGCAGCCCCCGGTCCTCCCTCTGCCTGTAGGACCAGAGGGAAACAGCAATGCTGGAGCCCGGGGAGAGTGGGGAACACAGCAAAGACCCTCCTGTGAAGGGCAGGCAAAAATGAATCTTGGGTTGGGCCCGGGGCAGATGCAGAATCGTCAGGCCAGAGAGGTCTGTGGTCTCTCAGAGCCTCAGCCCCTGAGGCGTGGAATGCACACCTGCGTCGTCGTGTCCAATTATTGGAATCTTATCAAATGGGCCTTAAGCCACACTCCAAAGTGGGGGCAGGGCCAGATCTTACGAGGGCCATGTGGCCTCTGGAGCCCAGCACAGAGCCCAGTTCTGGTCTGAGCAGATCTCACGGGGCCCACAGTGTGTTGTCCGAAGCCGTGCCTATTTTGTCCCCAGGATATGTGGCCGCGTCTTCTGTTACTACTGCTGCAACAACTATGTCCTCACCAAGCACAACGGCAAGAAGGAGCGCTGCTGCCGAGCCTGCTTCCGGAAGCTCAGCGAGGGCCCCGGCTCCCCTGACAGCACCAGCTCGGGCACCAGCCAGGGAGAGCCCAGCCCCGCACCATCACCAGCCCACGCTGGGCCCCAGGCCACCGGAGGCCAAGGTCAGACTCCTGCAGCAGCCCTCGGTGTTCTCTAAGTGCCATGTCCCCTCTCCACTACCCCATTGTGTTAGTTGTAACAAGCTTAACTCAGTGTTCTCCAAACTTAGGCATTAAAGAGATGCTAAAAATGTAGTACCACCAATTTGAGACTTTCTTTTTGATGTAATTAGGATTGGAAGAGAATTGAAAAGGGAATAACTTTCTCCTGATATGATTCAATGTTATTTAACGCGTGGCCTTTGTACCTCTTAACCCATGTACTACCAGTGGAATGTACCCCACACCTTGGAGAACGCTGTCTCCAGAGCCTCAGCCCCGATGTCTAACCCCCTCCCTGAGTAATCACAGGCCAGGAGTTGTCTGGAAACGACCACATCCTTCACTCTCTCCCTATGGCTCACACTCGCTCTCAGGCCAAGGAGGATGTGTTCTCCTTCATGTCCTTTCACTCAGCTCAGTGGAGGGAAGTGGGATTTGGTTCCTGCTGCTCCTGCTCCGAGCATAGCCCAGCAGGGCAGCTCAGGCTGCCTTCGCAGGGACTGGACTGTGGATGCAGAGGACCAGGGAGGCAGAGCTGAGATGCAAAGGCAGAAGTGAGTCTCATCTTTGCTCAAGCATCACTGCCTCCTGCATCTGGTTGCTATGGACTCCTTGGCCTCTGCCTGGATCCAGGCCAGCCAGCCTTCAGAAATACTGTTAGATCCTCTTTTGTTTAACTGGATCATCGAGGAGGTTGGCAGGCCCCATTATTTACATTGGGTACAAAGAACTGCTCAGGGATGGGGGAGTGTACCATACACAGCGTTAGTATATTTTCCTCAAATCTTCTGCCTATTTTTTAATTGTGTTTTTTTTTTAGTTACTGAATTTTGAGAATCCTTTATATATTCCAGATACAAGTTATTTATCAGATATGTGTTTTACAAATATTTTCTCCTAATCTGTAGCTGTCTTTTCACTTTCTTTCAAGGAGCAGAAATATTTTTCAAAGAGCAGAAGTTTATCATTTTTATGAAGTCCAATCTATCAATTTTTTTTCCCTTGGGATCAATTTTTTTCTTTTCTTTTGGTATCATATCTATCTTTGCTTAACCCAAGGACTCAAAGATCGTCTCCTGTTTTCTCCTAGAAGTTTTGTAGTTTCAGGTTGCACGTTTAGGTCTGTGATCCATTTTGAATTAATTTTTGTATATGGTGTAAGCTATGCATAGAGATTCATTTTTTGCATATGGTTGTCCAATTGTTCCAACACCGTTGGTTGAAAAGTCTATTCTTTTCCTATAGAATTGCCCTTGTACCTTTGTCAAAAATCAATTGCCTTTATATATGTGGGTCTGTATCTGGACTTTCCATTCCATTTCATTTATCTGTGTGCCCTTTCTTTCACCAATATCACACTGTTGTGATTACCGTAGTTTTATAATGAGTTTTAAAATCAGGTAGAGTGGGTCCTCTAATCTTGTTCTTTATCAAAGTGTTGGCTGTTCTAAGTCCTTTGCTTTTCCAAATAAATTTTAGAATCAGTTTGTCTGTTACTACAAAAAGTCCTGGTGAAGTTTTGATTGGGATTGCATTGAATCTCTAGGTCAGTTTGGGTCTTCCAACATGAACATGGTATAACTCTGTGTTTATTTAGGTCTTCTTTGATTTCTCTCAGTGGACATCATTTTGGATCCCTGTTCTTTGTTTTCCTATCCCTCCTTTTCCTTCTTTCTTCCCTCTACTAGCCTCAAAAGGCAGGTTCAGGAGTGTGGCTGAGTCTGTGGAAGGAAACCAATTCCTGTTCCCCTTTTTCAGCCTGTGCCATAAGCCCTCCATTATGCAGACTTCAGACAAGTTCTGAAGTTCTTCTAAAGCATGGTCTGTCTCAGTAGCCATGGGCAGGGTTAGCTGGGAACTTGTAGCTCACATGAACTGTTCTTCTTGCTAAACAGCCCAGGAGTCTTTCTCTTGCCCTGACTCACTGGCGAGTGTTCCACTGATAGTAGGGAGTAGCACCACTGTGCCAGAGTCCTTAGGTCACTTGTTTTGATTTCTGACATTTCCTGTCTCCTCGTCTTTCTCTCTTTCCTTCTTTCTTTCACTTCACACCTGCCATCACATTTTCTATGACATAGGCAAGAGAGGCTGGCGGGTGGGTGACTGCCACAGGAGCATCCATACAGCATCCTTCCTACTGATTGGCCCACAGAGTTGGACACAAGTCTCCTGGTCAGAAGCACAATGGTTGCTACAACCCCTTGAGCAGAGGGAGGTTCTTTCCCACCCCGTCAATAGATTGAGATGAAAATGCAGGCCAGCCAGAATCCTGCTTTCAAAGAAGCATGAATAAGTAGTGTCTGTGTCTGATGGAGCAGTGATTCAGCAGTGCAGGAGTATGTTTACTTTTTTGTTAGGTTCTTTCCTGATAAGGTTTTGATAGGTTTTTTTCCTTCTAAATAAGGGGCCTCAGAATATGTAAGAGCTGAAACCTCTCTAATCCACTAAGGGGCTTAAGAGAAATCTCTTAAATTGTGGATTTGGTTTCATCTGTAGTTCCCTCTTTTGCTTTTCTGGAATGTCCCAATAGCCATTTCTCTCACATCTGGACAGAAAAGCTGTCAGTTGAGTGAGCACGTAAAGGTGTCCTGGTGGCTTATCCTGCATAAGCTGCACTCACTCACTTCCCTGAGGCTCCTTCCCCATCCTATGCGTAACTGTTTCTCACCTCTCCTGATCTGCCTCTGTGGTCCAGGTGCAAACACAGACTGCAGGCCGCCAGACGACGCCGTGTTTGACATCATCACAGATGAGGAGTTGTGCCAGATACAGGAGTCCGGCTCCTCCTTGCCTGAAACACCCACTGAAACTGATTCTCTTGACCCAAACGTGGCCGAACAGTGAGTAGACATCACTTCCCATTTCCTGAGTGTGCATTAAGTGCCTGGCCCTTGTGCTTTCTTATCAAAGGACCAGGAAAGTTTGGAAGCCGGATTGGCTGCCTTTGCTTAAGGGAAGTTGCCTCAGAATAGTGTTCGGGATGGGATTGCCCTTGAGGAGCACCAGGCTTGGGGTATGGTCAGTGTTGAGCCTTGTCAGCGAGTTCCCAGGAGTGTCAGTGGTCTCCTGATTTCAGCATCTCCGTTAAGGCCTTTCTGGGCTTGGGCAACTGTATTAATCTGCTCAGGCTGCCACACCAGAATACCACAGACTGGGTGGCTTAAACAACATTTATTTTCTCTCAGTTCTTGAGACTGAAAGTCCAAGATCAAGGTGTCAGCAGGTTGCGTTTCCTCTGAGGCCTCTCTCCTTGGCTTGCAGATGCCACTCTCTTGCTGCTCTTCACATGGTCGTCCCTCTACGCTTGTGCACCCCTGCTGTCTCTATGTGTCCTAATCTCCTCTTCTTATAAGGACACCAGTCAGATTGGATCAGGGCCCACCCCAAGGGCCTCATTTTAACTAAACTATTTCTTTAAAAGGCTCATCTCCAAATACAGGCACATTCTGACGTCCTGGGGGCCGGGACATCAACACATGAATTTGAGGGGCCACAAGTCAGCCCATAAGAGCAACCCTGGGGCTGGCCTGGTCACGTAATGGTTAAGCTTCACCCGCCCAGGGTTCACAGGTTTGGATCCCAGGCGCAGACCTACACACTGCTTGTCAAGCCATGTTGTGGAAGGTGTCCCACATATAAAGTAGAGGAAGATAGGCACGGATGTTAGCTCAGGGATCTTCCTCAGCAAAAAGAGGAAGATAGACAGCAGATGTTAGCTCTGGGCTAGTCTTCCTTACCCAAAAAAAGAGCCACCCGTGCTGTGCTGCCCTTAGCCATGCTCAGAGCAACACGCTGCTCCTTAGAAGCTAAACCACTAACCAGGCTTGGTAAGGATGCCGTGAGAAAGGAAGCTTGGATTTAATTTCAGTTGTCTAGGGTAGGTGTGCTCTCTCCAAAGTCCCTTTAGCTCCAGATAAGCCCTCCTAGAGCCCTAAAGTCCTAAAAGCAATAAAATTATATGCAAGTCTGCCACCTGCACTCTGTCGAACCTAAAGGACTTTCCACTCCCCCAGCCTGTGCCACGCCCCATCGCCAGTCCCTTATTCAGTGACCTGGGCCCACTGAACCTTTCTGATGCTATGAAATGACAGCATCAGCTACAGGGGCGTCCTTTAGTCCTTATTCTCCACTGGCCCTCTCATTTTTCCGGGGTAGCTATTTTCCAACAAGGTTTGTGAGGAGAGTTTTGCAAGAGCCAATTTTTAAATACAGTCATGTGCCACATGACAACATTTCAGTCAACGACGGTGGTCCCCTAAGATTAGTACCGTATAGCCTAGGTGTGTAGTAGGCTATACTACCTAGTTTGTGTAAGTATACTCCGTGATGTTCTCACAACGATGAAATTGCCTAATGACGCATTTCTCAGCACGTGACCCCATCGTTACACAGTGCATGACTGTACATGAAATAACTGCATGCAGTGCCACCATACTAAAATGTCAAGACTTTATGCCCTCCATGGCAGCCTTGCTTGGTGTTTCTCAGCCCCTGGTGTCTGGCGTAAATGCAGTTTCTACAGCAAAGCACTGGCTTTTCAGAAGCTCAGGAAAGAATTGACATGGCACCCAGGTCCAGATGTTTCTTGACCTGCCTTCTGTCCATTTAGGGAGTTTTGTGATGCTCTTGCTGACTCATTAAGATCTCTTCCTCTCATCCCACCCAGAATCCAGAGGAGGGCTAGAACTGATCTGTCAGATCTATCATCCAGGATTTCTGCTGCATGGGAAGAGAGGTACTTAATCCTCGTGAGACTCTCAGCACAGGACATTTTAAGCTTAAGTGTATGTCTCCATACTCCTCTGTTCTCTTACTGGACAGTGACTGAACTTACCATCTTGTGGCCTCATGGGTAAGGCCAACCCGATCACCCAACCCAAGAAAGCCTGTGCTCACTGTCGCTTCTGTGACTTTGGGCCTTTTCTTTTCCTTCCTGAACCCCCACCTCTGAAGCCTTCCGTGACTGCATAAGCCTGCAGTGTTCTCCTTGACCCCAGTGGCTCCGTGGTCCCCAAGGCATGTTTTGTTCCATTAGCGCTAAGCCACCCTCTGCCATCATCACCTGGCAACCCTTTACTGACTATGCCTCGACTCCCAGCCAGGTGGGTGGGCAGTACAGTGAGCAAGACTGGAGCCTCAGGGCTGTGACCTGTCTGAGAAGGTGACCGCCCCCTGCAGCTCCCTCTTTCCCTCACCCCTCACCTTCCCCTTTCCCAGTAGGAACAAAAACAAGGTGTTCTGACCGCTGACAAATATACATGTTTTCAGTCATGGGAAATCAGGAAGTGTTCCAGGGAAAGGAAACTGCCAGCGTGCCGGCCCACGGCCTCCAAGGCAGATCTGGGACTGACGGACGGGAACCTGCAGTCTCTGTACCTCGTCCGTTCACGTGAAGAGCCAGGCCTCCTGGTCAGCTGAGAGCGTGCCTTGTCACACACTTTCCTTGTGCATTAGCTAGAGAGGGACCCCAGCGTCTCAGGTAGCTTTCTTACATTCTTTTTCTTCCTAAGTTTAAGACCCAATCAGAAACACCAGGAGTCTGAGAAAGTGTGGGAGGTATAGAGCCTTGGATTTATGTGAGCATGGAAACTTCAAGACAGGAAACTTGGAGAAGGAAATCAGCAAGTCCAAAGGAAGAAGTGGTCCAGGAGGGATTAAACCCTAGGTCCAAATCCATGGGGAAAAGAAGGCTACTCGCAAGGAAAGTTGTGGACACCTTCCCTGTGCTGGCTGCTTTTACACATTACCTCACTTAGTCCCCGCCCAACCCTTCAAGGAGTAGGGATTATGATCCTTGTTTTACAGATAAAGGCACTGCAGCCTCAGGAGGTTCAATAACTTGCTCAAGGTCCTGTGGCTGTAAGTGCTGGAACTGGGCTTTGAGCCCACAACCTCTCGCTCCAGTCACAGGCTTGAGGTTCATTTTGAAGAGTTCAGCTCTCTTATCCGGGTCCTCTTTCCCCATTTGCACGTCAAAAACCTACCCAGCTTCCCCTGCCCCTGTGTCCACTCCTCCCCACACAAACATGTTTTTAGGGCTAACGAGGTTGTCTGCCTGGCCCTCCTGGCAGTGATGAAACAGGAAGGGGTCCCAAAATCAAGCCTATCAGGAAGACCCGGCAGGATGCCGTAGACTCCCCGAGCAACCTCCCAGCGGCTCCCATGCACAGCTTAGAGCTGGGGTGGTGGCATGAAGCAGGAGCACAGCCCCTCACCTCAGGGGAAAGGTGGTCTTCTTCAGGGCCCTCCAGACATGCCTGTACCACCCCCACCACTCACCAGGCCCACCCTCAGCCATCTCCGCTGACCAGGTGTCCAGCTGTTCTCAGGACCGAGGTGGGAGGCAGAGAAGGACCGAGGTGGCAGGCAGAGAAGGAAGGAAAGTCAGACAGTAGCAGGGCTGGGCCTTGGATCCCTTGGCCTCTACTGAGCTTCTACCCAGTCATGGCCTCCTCGAGGCCTGGCCTCCCCTTCTCAATACCAGACGAACAGGCTGTATGGCAGTGAAGAGCTTGAGCTCCAGAATCAGAGACACCTGGTCAGATTCTGGTCTGCCCCCTCCAGGTTCCATGGCTTTGGCACCACGGCCCCCTGAACTCCGTTCCCTCCCCTGTACAGAAGAGACAGGGACAGCACTCAGCCCCCAGGGTTGTTAGGAGGATTAGATGAGGAGGATATGTACGAAACACTGAGCCCAGTGCCTGGCACCTGGGAATCCTGCCTTGGAGATGCATTGTTTTTATGTGTTTTACTTGAGCTGTGAGGTCCAGGGCTGTGAGCCGTGCATGTCTGCTGCTGTGTGCCCTAGGACCTTGCACCTGGCAGCTTGGTTGTCTTCTCCAAGGAAAATCACTCCAGACGCCTAGATGTTACTGAGCTTAAACTTACCCACAGAGACCATCCCTGACCCACAGAGCATCTTTGCCAGTAATTGCTTTAGAACTGGGGCTTCGTGGTCGGGGTGCTTTGGGGAACTGTGGTGGGTTTGTCACCAACCAGTAAATTTGACGCCTGGTATCTCAGAAACAAAACGAGAACAGGATATGTGATAATGGTTAAGGTTAGAAAGCCACTCGTGCACTTAGGTTAACCCAACATCTCCGCCTTAAGATGAGTACAGAGCTGGCGGGTACCCTGGGCTCGTCAGCTGTATGAAGCCTCTCTTAGCCAATCTTTGGGGGCAGAGAAAGAAGCTGTTCACTGAGGTCCCAGCCCTAGCTCTGCTATGTGAGTTTTGGCAGGTATTAATCTCTCTAAACTATTCCTCATCTGAAAAATGAGCATGATAGTGCCAGGCCTCCTGCAGAACAGTGTTGGGAGTTACCATGAACCACAATGGACTGGGCAAATGGAAAGGGGTGCTGCCTTGAGAGCCCCTTGGCGGAAAAGGCTAGAGCGAGCACCCTGGCCACCCCTGAGCCCCATGCTGTTTGCTGTGCCTTCACCCCTACAATAGGGACAGCTTCAGGTCTTTCTCTCCTGCAGCACCATTTCCTCACTGAGATCACCTGGGCTTCTGGCTTCCAGGTAGCCCCTGGGATTGGTCCTGTGTTCACCACATCTCAGATAGTGCAGCCATCCATGGCCTCTAACCACCCACCCCTCAAGTGTTGGGAACATGGTTGGGGAGGAGCATGTTCTTACCCTCAGACTCTAGGCAGGGGTGTGAGGCCACACCCAAGGCAGACTGGACTCGACCAGGGTCCACCTCCAGCCTGCCCCACTTCCCCGGTCTCCCCCCAGCACCCCAGGCCTTTACATCATGTACTGCTATGTGCGAGCAGAGGGGAGAGCCAGGGGAGAACGGCAGATCTGAAGTTGGGAACTTGTACTTCACAGGGCTGTTGTGTGGATGGAATGAAGGCAAGACACAAAAGCCCTCTGTGACCTATGTGGGCTGTGCCTGTGTCTCCTACCAATAACAGTGTGTACCCAGGAGAGGGGCTAGAAAAATGGTAGTGGCAGTGTGGCAGGTAGGGGCCCAGAGAGTGTAGGACCAATGAATGACTGAGGGGCAGAGAAGGTGAAGGAAGATTCAACTGCTGTGCTATTCCTGGGGACAGGCAGGCAGATTTTCCTAAGCTGTGGAAGGGCCAGTGCAAAACATGTTTGCGGGGAGCCTGGAGAGAGAGCGTATAAAATAGACCTGGGATGGGGCACGGCCTGACAGGTGCCTGATCTCGTTTGACTCAGCTAGGCAGGCACCTGGTCAGGGAGAAGCCAGTGGCCCCAGCAGCTGCCCCTCTGCTGCCGTGGCCAGGCAGCCCCCAGCTTGGCCCTTGGAGTGCGCTGTCCATGCTTCACGAGCACTGGAGGAAGGGCTGTCATTAGTCAGTTGTGTGGAGAGTGAAACGGGCTTGGGGAAGCTGAGAAGCTTGACCAAGGATGCACTGAGGTGGAGCCGTCACTGAGCCAATGCCTGAGTGACCCCAGAGCCCCGCTTCTCCTATCACACCACACTGCGTTCCCTCGAGGGAACATGTGGAGATGGTGCAGGGCCCCTGGCTCCTCAGTTCCTCACTTCTTCCTTCCCAGTTAGGGCCTCTGCCTCTTGTTCTGGGACACTGTTGGGGAAGCCAGGGGCTGGCGGCCCCTCCATCAGAAATGCTCGACATTAAGAGGGATGCACAGGGGAATGACAGAAACTCCCCCTTTGAAGCCAATTTAAAGAAGATAAAAATCAGCCTTGTCACCATGAATAGGGCAGATTTTGTTGTTTGAGGAAGCACTCGGTGGTCCATGTGGTCTGAGTACAGTAAAGCAACTCTGCTCGTGGATGCATTTAGGCATGTTTATGAAACATTAGGTAGGATCGTGTGGGCCCCACAAGGCCCGGCCTGTGCTCAGCTGGACCAGGGTGTGTGTGACATGCCATGCACCTCTGGAAGGCTCGAAGCAAACCCTCCCATACCTGGCCAACTCACAGAGAATGACAGATGGCTTCCATTTTGTGTTGCTAGTTCTTGTGAGAAATAATAATAACTACTGCCTTTTTGGGAGCCCTTCTACCCACAAATGCAAACTGTGCTAAGTGTTTTGTATGCATTATCTCAAGTCCTGAGATAATATCTCAAGTCCTCACTCACACCAGTCCTGGGAGGTGGGTACTGTTATGGCCTGTGGGTTACCACAGTGAAAGTGGTTAAGAGATTACCAGCTGGTCTTACAAACTAGTGAGGGACACAGCTGGGATTCGACTCTGACCTATCCAAACCTCAAAACCACACTGTTGAGCCAGTTCTGGCTCGCCTCCCTGTGCACTCTCTTTAGCTGTTGTCAACTGGTTCTACATATTTCGGTGAGTGACTGTGAAGCATGAGCCAAAAAGTCAACTTTAACCCTATTGAGCAGATTGCTAGGATCTAATAAACATGCACAAATGTCTGACATTTAAAACTCTGCCTCAGCCTTTGACCACATTACAGAATTAAACAAATGCACCTCACATTTTGGGCAGGAGGTTGGAAGCCACAGTAAAGGAGCTGAGCTGTTGTCACTGGTATATTTCATTTCCTTGATAGAGCAGCACCTTGAAAGTTTACAATTTTAACTTATTTCCTGTGCTCTGAGCCCACAAGTAATCACTTTTGAAATATTCCAGGTATACCACATTAAAGTAGAATGTGCCTAAGGATAAAAGTAGTTTGCAGACTTTAAAAAAGTTTTATTTCTTAGTCATGAAAATCGTATGCTGCTTGGTGTGTGTGTGTGTGTATTATATATACATTTATATATGACTTATATGTGTGTGTGTCAGGTATTGGATAATTCAGTTTTTAAATGAGCAAACCCACCAGAGAATCCATTTCAGAAATGCTGCTTAGATTCTTGATAGTCTTAAACTCTGCTTTGCACATTTTTCTATCATTCTGTGGACCACTGGAATTCTCAGCTGATTCTAATTTGTTTTGGCACATTCATATTCCCTGCTGCTGGTCCTTCCAGGATGAAGCAAAGAGAACATAAGCATCTATCTACATGAAAGTTAAACCCCAAGGTGAGGCAGAACCTGATCTCATTTCTGTTAGGTGCCTGGTGATTGAGGTCTCAGCCATATGGGCCAGCACTTGTTTTCATGGTTGGTCTAATCTTCCCTGCTTCCCAGTAGCCAGAAAAATCTTCTGAACTTGGGAGCCCAGAGTGTCACCTGCCATCAACAGCTTTGTTGGCCATGCTCCTCTCTTCAACCTTGAGTCCTAGTCCCACTGAAGGAGAACCTGAGGTCTTGAGAGTCATGTGTCACTTCCTTGGTGTCGGCATTCTTGGGGATAGAGGAAGGAAAGCCCTTAGAGTTTTTAGACTCCCTTTGAGCTTTAGGCCTGTGTGTTCAAGAAGAGAACAGAATGTGTTCGTGCCCAAGAAGCATTCCACGCCAGCAACAGCATTTGATTACTTCTCCACGAGAATGCACAAGCTATAAACAGAGCCTTTCTTGTCGTAACAACAGGACACAGCCAAGCTCCTGTAAATTCCCGAGCAGCTTCTCTGAGCTCTGGCAAGGCTTACAGCTGGAACATGCTGGTGGCCTCCACGTTGTGGGAGGCAGAACAAGTCTTGGAAGTGTCCTCAGAAGACTTCCATTGGCTTGAGACCCCCAGGTAAGGGAGGCAGCCAATGTCATTCACAAGCTTCCAGAAGTTCTTTCGAAACTTCAGGCCAACAAAGGCATAGAGCACGGGGTTAAGGCAGGCCCGCAGATAGGCGATGGCCTCAGTCACTATGATGGCATAGTGAAAGCTGGTCTTGGTGTAGTACTCCCAGCTTATGCTGCGGATGAGCTTCACAAGGTTGAAGGGCGTCTGGGTCAGCAGGAACACAGCCACCACCAGGAAGATGATCTTTAGAGACTTGTGCTTCTGGAAGCCTCGGGCATTAAGCAGGGTCTTGATTATGACTGAGTAGCAGACAATCATGGCAAGCAGTGGCAGAAAGAACCCCAGTGTCATCTGGGTAGCAAGAACCACAGTGGAAATCTCCTCATTGTGATAACCACAGATGAGCTTGTCGAGATAAAGGACATTGCCATAGATGATCTGCGGCAGGGAAACCAGCAGGGAGGTCACCCAGATGGACAAGCAGATGACCTTGCCCCAGGTCATCCGCTTGGCCTGCTGGTTGTAGGCCTTGGTGGCCCGAACCACTGCAATGAAGCGGTCCACAGTGATGCAGGTAAGGATGAGCATGGACGTGTAGAAGTTCAAAGTGTAGATGCCCAGCAGGGTTTTGCACATGATATTGCCGAAGACCCACTCATGGATGCCTGCGTAGGCCCAAAAGGGCAGCGTGCAGACAAACACCAGGTCAGCCAAGGGCAGGTTCATCAGGAACACGTCCGTCAGGCTCTTCAGCTTCTGGTAGAAGATGTATATGACCAGCACCAGGGAGTTCCCCAACAGGCCACAGATGAACACCACCAGGTACATGCAGGGCAGAAAAAACTTACTGAACTGCAGGAAGTCTTCATGCCCCTGGCTGCTATCATTGGAATTGTTGAAGAGCCTGGTATCTACATACTCATACTCATCCATGGTTCTGTTCCAGTGAACACCTGTGAGTCAAAACACAGGAATTATATTTGGAGCTGAGGGTGACACTTCCTGTCTTCCCACTGTCCTGTTGCCCACATTTAGGGGGCAAATAGTCGTCTTCTAAACCCACTCACTGTTCTGCTCAGTAACAGCAAAGTCTAATATACTAGAGATAGCCAATTCTGAGGGGAACTTGCTCAGACAGGACAAGGGACACTTCATTAGCCCTAAAATTCTCAGGATCTCACCCACCTAGGAGATAACATGTAACTGACTACACACGTCCCGTAAAATCCTGTGCTAACTGGTCTTGAAAGCAAAGGTCACCATGTGGTGAAATGGACACAGCGCGCATTTGGAAGAGTAGCGTTGCTCTTTAATGGGGAGGGCCTGTCTTCATCTGCCCATGTCTCACAGCAGTTGCCCACCTATCCCGTGCCCCATTTTCTGTTAAGTTAGGCCCCTGAACTGCTAACTGTGGAAGCTAAGGCCAGTATCCCCCTTCCGGGGGGGTCGTCCACCATCAAAGAGACTCCTGGAGACCAAGAGGTGTTTGGGGGATGACCCAGACTTTTCTGCCTGGGTGGGCAGTCTCTCCTGCCTTGTCTTGCCTTCACCTCGTTGTTGTTAGTACTGTCGAGTTGATTCCAACTCCTAGTGACCCTGTTTACAACAGAGCAGAACCCTGCCCGGCTTTTTTGTGCCATTCTCTCATCTTGCGGCACTGTATCAGACAATACTGCTATTTATAGGGTTTTCACGGCCAATTTTTTTTGGAAGTGGGTGGCCAGGTCCTTCTTCCTGGTCTGTCTTAGTCTGGAAGTTCCACTGAAACCTGTCCACCATGCGTGACCCTGCTGGTATTTGAAATACTGGTGGCACAGCTTTCAGCATCACACAAGTGCCACAGTATGACAACTACAGATGGCTGGTGGGGTTCCCTGATGGGGAAATGAACCCAGGCCATGCGTTGAGAGCACCAAATCTTAACCACTAGACCACCGGGGCTGGCTATTACCCTGGCTATGCTCTCCATTGCATAGATTTAGAACGACGACTGATGGGGAAACAATGCACAGAGAACCCATGGTTGCCCAGCACTTTGGCTGAGCCAGCTCATGACCAGGGAACTGGGCAGTTCTTCTCACACCCCAACCCCAGCTTTCCCTGTTATCATCTGTCACAGTTGGGATATTCTCCCATCAGAGCTTGTTTCATAAAGACTGCTTGATCTTCAGAAATCTCTTCAAAGATAGATTTCCCCAGAAAGAACATTGCTTTAGCTTTTATGACTAGCAGTTTAAGGTTGAGGAAGACCTGGTTGAAATGGGACGCCACGTGGGTGGGCTTCTGCAGCGAGGCGGTGGCCAGTCTTGCAGTGAGGCTTGGAGCAAAGACCAAATGGCTCTCTTTCTTGCCTGGGGCTCCCAGCCCTTCAAGGCCGTCCCTTCCCTCTCACCCTTCTCTCTCCCCTATGACCTGCTGAGGACCACAGACAGGGCACAGGAGTGATGTAACCCATGGCATGGGAGCAGGGGCAGCTGTGGCAGCATCAGCCTTGGAGTGCCAAGCCCCTGACCTGCAGATACTCAGCATGCAGTGGCTCATTTCCAGTGACCCAGTGCCATGTCCTGCTGACACCTTAAGAAGATGTTTTAAGAAGAGCAAGCGTTTGGTTTAGCAAAGTCAAAATATCAACTGGCCAGACAAGGGCATATAAAAGGAGAGATTATCTCTCCTTTCTAATCTACTCAGAGACTATTCTTTTCCTGACTGGAAACTGTGTTAGCCCTGGCGCTGCCACCTCGGACTTTCTTGGGGGCAAAGTGCCCTTTCTCTCTAAGGGAGGACTTTGCCTTTGGAGTAAGACAACTCACTAAGAAATCCCTGCTTCCAGACCACAACATGTTAGATCTGTAAGGGTGATAGGCCAGCCAGTAGGCATCGTGCCCCACCAGCTCTCTGGGCTACTAGGTTAAGTAGGTCAGAGGAGGATGTGTATATATGTGTTATTACTTCGCACAGGGATAAAAACATTGTTTTCATCATTTAGAGTATGACACAGGCAGCTTTGCTTTCCTTAAGAGGAATATGAAATCTCCATAACTGCTTGACTTACTCTTCCCTTTTTTTAGAAATCCTCCTATTATGGCTGTTGCTGGATCCTTACGCTGGCATTACATGTTTCCTCAAAGGGCCCATGCAAATTCACTTGTAGTAATTAGTAAATTTTAATATTATGTTAATAGATTGGGACTGCACAGCTCTGTGCCGATAGAGTGGTAAAAATTACTTTCCCTTATAGAAATGATAAAACCATTCGTTTCTTTATCTTCTGTGACCAAAGTCCTATGTTGATTTCTGAAAATTAAAAAAAAAGTATATACGACTTCGGAAATAGTGTAAATAAATAGTGATAATAAATAAGCAAATTATAATTCAGACATAGAATATAACTGAAATGTTTAGGAAGTGCTTTTTACAATTTTGGAAAATGCAATACTTCTAAATTGCTCAGAACAGTGTTAGCACAAAGTAAATATGCAAAGTTAGTATTGGCTGTTACTATTACAATGAATAGATGATAAAAAGGATGTAAAATTGATCATGATTCTTAAGTTTCTTTGATCATAAACCCCTTTGCGAGTCTCGTAAAAGCCGCAGACGTTTTCCTCAGAAATAATGCATGCACACACCTGCAATTCTGAGGGTTCGTGAACCCTTTGAATCCCTCTGCCACGTATTCTATAAGTTGTTTGATTTTGACTATATTTTTTAAAACATAGAAAAATGACCAAATTTTATCAGCAGTTCACCTCTGGCTGGTGGAATTAGTGATGACTTATTTCCCTTCCTCCTTTGTGTTTTTCTAAGTTTCTGCAGTGGTATATTGATTCATATTGAGATAAGAAAGTAAACAATGATCTGAGATAACAGCCTGTCTTATAAAATGCAAAAGAAACAAAAGAAAAACAAAGAGAGATTATTCAGTGAACAAATATAGACAGTGACTAGACTCTCCTTATCTTGCTAGGAGTGTCTGATTATGCCATTACTATCAGTACCATTAGCTTATGGCACTCGCTGTGTGCCCAGAACCACGTTAAGTTGTTTTCACAGTTCTCTAAGCTAACCCCACGGCAGCAAGTGGCAGAGATGGAATTTGAACTAAGAGCAGCAGAGCTCCAAAGCCTGGGCATTTTCCACCATACTGCACTGCAGGCAGGAATCTGAGAATCCCAGCAACCCAGGGTGAGTGCCTGCCTTTTAGCTATAGAGACAAATGACTCACCAGCAGAGTAGTGCTGTCGGTTTGTTCCAGAGATGAGCTTGCTCACAGCAGCAAGGTCTGCCTCAACCTCTCTGTGATGTGGTCCGTGTTTCCGCTGAATATTTTTAAGAGCCCTTGGTTGGTGATTATAAGAGACCCAACCCTACCCCCGTCTTGCAGATCAGAATCCACATGACCAGCCTGCATGCATGCAATTTGGGAATCAAAGACACAAAGCAGTGACTCTAATACTGCACACCCCCTGCAACCTGACTGGGGATTTATTATTCTGCCAGGACCTGAGACGGTTTTTATTTGTAAACCAAAGGGGAGCAATAAGTAGGTTTGGCTCTGGCAGTCCACTGAACATGGTGGTACCTTCAAATTATTTCATTCACTAGTCATATGAATCTCTTTGGAACAGTTTGGGTCTGGACCAATGCAAAGTCTTTGCTGTGGCCTGGGTTCTGTGTATGCATGCATCTCCAACATGCATGCAGCTCCAACATACACGAGAGCCACTGATCCTCACAGCAACCCTGCAAAGTAGATAGTATCCCCATTTTATAGATGAGAACATGGAGGACCATAGCTGAAAAAACAGCCCCATGTGCACACAGCTAATAACTGGCACTTCCAGGATACAAACCCAGATCTCTGTCATTGCCAGACCAATGGACCGTTGGCTTCTAGGTGATGGGTCTGCCAGAGGGCCTGATGCAGCCCGCCTTCTAAACCCACACGACTCAGGCCCAGCAGTGCTCTCCTGCCCTGCTTATCCTGGCTGGAACCATCTGGTTTCCTGAGGCTGCCCCCTCTACTCCTGGACCTCCCCAGATATTGAGCACCTTGATTGCGGTACAGTTCTAGTTGTTAGTCCCCATTATCCAAAAATGCTGACACTTCTGGAAAATAACACCTGGAAGGCAGGGGTTGGAGGAATGTCTGCCTGGGTTACATTCCCCAGTTCCTCCCCTCTAGAAAGGGTGCTAGGTAGAGGGGTGGACTCCATTTCTCCTTTCCCAGAAGTAGCTGTCCTCTTGCTGAGTCACCAGGCCCCCTTCCCTGATTCTGCACTCCCATTCAGCCTGCTTCCCCCCAAGGCTGGTGCTCTGGCCCGCCTGCTGGGCAGATGCTCTCCTATGGCTCTTCCTAAGGACAGGTGTCAGGCACTGGGAGCAGGGACCAGGAGCAGCCCCAGGATCTGGAGACTAACGCTGGTTACTGTGAGCCAGGCCCTGTGCTAAATGCTTTCTGTGTACAGTCATCTAATCCTAGTCACTTACAGATAAGTAAGCAGAAGAAGATTAGAGAGATTAGCTCATTTGTCTAAGAACACACATTTCCCCAGGAGTCACCCAGGATCTGTCTGACTGCAAAACCCATGCTCCCTGTACTACTCTTTCTGAGTATGGAGCTATCCCAGGGGCCCTGATAAAAGATCTGAAGACCTCTGGTCGATTTTCAAGTCTTTTTGAATGAACTAGTTCAAACTGTTCTTTCCACCAAACTGGTACAAATGAATGAGGTGTTCCCTGAGGGCAGGAACCAAGAGGCTGTGTAGAATATGTACCTCTGGATAGATGGATGGGTGGGTAGGTGGATGCAGGGACCAATGGATGAATGAACAAATGAACAGGCTGACCCAAATACTGAAGGGGGGATGGGCCCAAGTAACCATTTCTGAAAGAGACCTTTTGGGGCAAGACATCCCTTTAGAGTGAGCCAGCCTGACATTTTGGAATCTTTAAGCTTTGAGAGATGAGCTTTTCCGTGGGACAAGCCAACCATGTCATTTGGGACCAGTTCATGAGGCAGAGTTAGAACGACCTGAGCCTTGTCAGACCCACTTGTTCACCTCTCCTCTTCTCTCTGAGCGATCATTTGTGCTCTGTGGGGAAAGACAGGCCTTGACCTGGTGCCCTGCATGACTGGGCATGCACGGGCATGCTCGGGGGGTGGGGTGGGGGGGTGACATGTATTTGAGAGAGCATGACTACATTTGTCATAACCATTCTCCAGTGCAAAGTTCTCCAATGGAAGACTTGCAACTAAGTTAGAGGAATGGGGCCACTCACAATTTGGGGGCCAGAATTTTATTTCAACCACTTTACAAGTGCCTTTTGTTAGTTTGTAGTGTTCATTGTTCCAAGGGCACTTTTCTTTGAAACAAAACTCTAAGCTTCTTAAGGGCAGGTACCCAATCATATGTCTTGGATTGCCTCTGGAAAACTTAAACATTTTATAAATAGAATTGGGGGAATCATAAAAGGGAAGTGGCAGGCATGGCTGCCACAGATTTATCTTGGAAGTCAGACTACCGACCTCACTTTTCCTGAACACCTGACGTTCTTAGGCCAGAGCCCTGGTTAGGATGTCGGTTCCAGGACCCAGGGACAAGGCAGTTCCTGCTGCTGGCTGAAGAGTCTAACTGCAGGGCATTGGTGGACGACGGGGGGCTGTGGAGGAGGAGTGAAAAGATCCTCAGAGAAGTGGCGTACCCGGAAGGCAGCAAGCGAGTTGGGTGTGGCTTGCTCAGCCGTGCCCAGTGTTAGAGGATGGGCATACGGGTTTGTGTGTGGTCAGACCATAGTTACCAAGTTATAGGAAACCAACAGACCAGAAGTGCTCTTCTTCACTTGTTTTTTAGGCAAAAAGGAAGCCAGTGACTAAAAGAAGAACTCCTAGGAATTTACTTTTTAATAGTAAACTTTTAAAATGCCCCCAGATGCCACAGTGAATGTGGTCCACAGCATGGCTCAGCCCAACCTTCCAAACCTATGCTGTTCAGTAGCGCCTTCTGTGATGACGGGCGTGGTCTTTATCTGCGCTATCCAACACAGTGGCCACCAGCCCATGTTACTGTTGAACACTTGAAGTGTGGCTTATGCAACCAAGGAGCCCAATTTTTAGTTTTTATCAATTTTGATGAATTTGAATTTAAATAGCCATATGAGGCCAGTGGGTAATGTTTTGGACAGTGCATTTGTAAACCAAAGTCCTCTCCTGGTCACAGGAGACTGTTCGCAGGTAGAGGCTGACCTGGGGACTACAGCACCCTGGGTAATTGGGCAAAGCAGCACTTCTCACTGTGCTGGGCTTAGCGAGGCAGAGGAGTAGATGGAGCCTTCTGAGGAAGAGTGTCAGCAAGACGCTCAGGCCAAAGGGGCTTTCTAGGCATCCATTCCTTCCTCAGCCAATCTGACAGCCAGAGAATCTGCGCCCTAGGCATTCTGCAGGATTGAAGTTGTACAGTAATTAAATGAAAAAGGCTAAGGATTTCAATTTGTGAGAGGAAAAAATTATAGATTCTAGCTGTAGAGACCAAGCTGGAGGGACCCCACCCTTGACCCCTCGTCCAGGCAGGTGCGAACCCCTGGACTGCATTGCCAGTGACTTCTCCAGCATCCACCTTGTCCGTGGTCATCACTTTATTCTTACTTGATTCTAAAGTGGCGCCTTGCTGGGGCCAGCCCAGTGGAGTAGTGGTTAAGTTCACGCGCTCCACTTTGGCAGCCCGGGGGTTCGCAGGTTCGGATCCCATGCGCAGACCTATGCACTGCTCATCAAGCCACGCTATGGCAGGCATCCCACATAAGGTAGAGGAAGATGGGCATGGATGTTAGCCCAGGGCCAATCTTCCTCAGCAAAAAAGAGGAGGATTGGCAACAGGTGTTAGCTCAGGGCTAATCTTCCTCACAAAAAAAATAGATAAATTAAAAAGTGGAGCCTTGGTCATGTCCTCCGTTGGGGATATTTGGGACAGAAAACCACCTTAGCCTGAGGCACATACTCGAGACCTTTATTGAGCATAGGCTGTGTGCGGAGCAGGTGCCCCGGACTGCCAAGGTGACCACCCCCAGAGGGCAGAGCAAGTTGACAGACATGTATGTGCCTTGAGACAGGTTCAGCTCAACTGACCACAGGCTCAGGGATGGAAACTCGGCAGAAAAGGGTGATATACCGTCAGCCGTGCAAGGCCACCATAGTAGCAGTAGGCCCCCATGGCCAGAGCAAGGGGAAGAGAAAGGCCGGTTATGGGCAGTGAGTTTGTCTCACATCTTTTCTGAGAAAAACACCTCACTAGCAACGAAAGGAAATGATTCTGGTAGGAGATAGGGTGCCCCCTAGAGGCCTTGCTTTTTTTACCCTGTCATTCTCAAACTTTTTTTAATCCTCTGACAGAGTTGCTTGAACATCTCCTACTGCATCCCACAGTAGGAAATTCATTTTACGTGACTACCAGGTGTGTACGTGTGTAAACATAAAGTCAGAACAAGCCTCATGAAACAATACCCTCACAACATGCAATACACTATTATTGCATTGACATTTTCTATGCTGTCTCTTTTAATGTTGGTCATAACTTACTGAATTGATTCACAACCACTAAATGAATCGTGACCTACAGTTCGAAAAGAAAACTCTGCCCCTAATCATTCCCTTGGAGCCTGCATCACCACCCCCTCCATACACACTGCCCTCCGCCCGCCCTGACCTCACTCAGCTCCCTCCTGTAGGGCCTCAGCCAGGACTGTCAGGGTCTGGGGGACCCACTCTGGGAGTCATCTGCTTGCAGGTAATCAAGGTTGTCTGTCATCACGGTGGTCAGATTGGGGCAGAGGGGAAATGGAGGAAAAGAAGGAATCATAGATTAGGATACCTTTTATCCTAAATGCAGGAAAATTGAGAGAACCAACTATAGTTTTCAGGGTTTGTTTCATCATATGTTATTTGTCTTTCTTATTTATGGTATCTGCACTTTGGACAGGATGAAAGCAAATGCAGTGAGCCAGGCCTGAGTAGCCTTGGGCCCACCTCCTCTCCCCTGGACCCCTGCCTCCCCGGCTGCCAAGGGTTGGGGGTGGACTGGCTGGTCTCTTTAGCTGCTTCTTGCACTGACATTCTTTGGTTCTGTTCATCCCAGGGTGAGGGGTGGGGGTCTGGAAGCCGGTGGTTAGAAGAGCAACAATGCAGTGTTGGGCAGGGAAGTCAGAGGTGAGGCTGGGCTGGGGAGGAAAAGGATCAACGAGTGACAAGGCTTGCCCTTGGTGACAGCAGACACTGCAGAACATGTTCTTGCTGCACCTTCCCTAGGAAAGTGGAGAAGGCTGAGGGCAGGGAGCTGCTGACCAGAGCGAGCCCACCTCTGTCCCAGCCAGTGGGCTCTGTAAAATGCCTTCTCCAAGGCTTTTGACACTTACAGCCTTTTCAAGCTCCCAACAGGACCTGGAGTCCCTCTGGTTCCGTCTCTCTCCCATTTAGAGAGGAGAAAACTGGGGTCTTGGAGGAATAAAGGGCTTGCCCACGGTCACACAGTTAGTCATAAAGCCGAGACTGGAACCACCTTGGAGTGATGAGTCCCCTCAAGAGCCATACCGCCTCTCCTGTCCTCTGGAGCCCCAGTGAGCCCCAGCTAGAGGGAGCCCCACTGCTCAGGGCTTGTGGCGCTGAGTCCCCAAGGACAGGGTGTTCATGAAGACAGGTTCTCGCACTGTCGTGGGCTGCCGTGGACTGCACAGACAGCCCCGGCCAGGCACCTGGGCGCTAGTGGGTGTCTGCTTATCTGGGCGGCCCTGTAGGCTCCCTGTGCCAGCCCCACCCCCACCCCCTTGCAGCAGCGCCCTGAGAGCAGGTTCCCACACCCAGCAGCCTTAGCCCTCCAGCTGTGGACAGAACGAGGCTGGGAAATGGGAGCTGTGTGGCAGAGAGAGCAGCTGCCGGGCCTGGTGCTGAGCAGGCGTGATGATGTCTAGGCTGTCCGAAGGAAGCCAGATCTTGAGCTCAGAGACTTCCCAGGAGGACAGGGGCCTCTCCCTGTGCAGTGCCTGTCCTCCAGCACAGAGAGGCTTTGCAAGTTGGCAGCAAATAGTCAGCTAGTCAGCTTTTGTGTCTGAGAAAATCTTGTGAGAGGTGAAGGTGGCCATAGTGCATCCTCAGGTGTGGATCTGCTAACCCAGCGCCTGCCACTCCGTGCATGACTCAGGGTCTTCCGCCTTAAGAATCAATGGCTGATTCTTTTCTTGGCTTTGTCAGCATTCCCTCTGCCCTTTTATCCTGAATTTATACAGAACGGCTTACACCCCCATGTCCGTTTCCTGTCAGGTAGCCTTCAGTCTCTGTCCCTGCAGGTGGCAGGGGCTGGCCTGCTGCGCACTGGGCCTGAGTGGCAGGGAAAGCTCCGCTAGAAGCCCCTGGGACGAAGCTGCCCGTCACCTCCCTCAGACTCTCGGTGTGGTGCTGTGACTGCGGGTGCACCGTGTGTTGCAGGGATATTCCCGCCCCCACGGTTAAGTGACAGCCAGGACAGGCTTAGGCGAGACTCACTGAATTTTGCCAACTCTGAGCCGCCCCATCTGCATCCACATGGAGAGAGCCTGGTGCTCCAGGTGGACTTTCCCAGGGTCCTGCTGGCAGTGGGGAGCCTCTGCCCCAGACACAGGATGTAGACTGTATTTGCCGCCCCTCCCGTGGGTGGTTATCCATCTCTGCCCGCTTAGGGAAGGATGAGCATCCCCACCCCCACTGTAGTGTGCGTGGCTGCGGGACTCGTGTGGCAGTGAAACGTGAGCAGCAGTGCGGGGAGAATCACTTCCCAGCAGAGACGGTGGGCACTGCCTCCAGGCAGAAGCTCTCTGAGCATTAGGGTGTGGCTGCAGTGCTCTCTTTTGTATTTCTGATGTCACAGAGGTTATGTTAGGTCCTGAGCTCTGGGATTCAGGGTCTGTTAATGCACCAGGAAAGCTGTGGAGCCTTCCCCAGGCATGGCCGTGGTCGTCACTCCAGGCCGCAGTCCAGACAGCACTCAGCCAAGCACACCAGTTTTTCAGACGAGTCGTGGCTCCACTCCAGGTGGAGCCGTGGACTTGGTGCTCAGGTGGGTGTGAAGGTAGCGAGGAGGGTCATGTGAGCACATGGTCTGGATCCTTGCTGCCGGCCGGCTGACCTTGCATGTGCCGCTGTATACGCTGAGACCTGCTTCTTCCAGCAAGGCCCCAGCTGTGTGTTCCCGCCTCAGATGGAGAGCATTGGTGGGGTGGGGCGCATGCCCACTTCATGTGTCCTGTGCAGAGCCTGACCCAGCACGGGGCTGGGCTGACGTCTCAGGAAACGCTCAGCAGTAGACAAGGTGGGGACAGGGCAGGACAGAGTTCATGCAAGGGCAGGGCCTAGGAGGGCAGGGTGAGGGAACGTGCCCAGGGGTGCATGTGGGTGTAGTGCAGGGGGAGCCAGAACAGGTTGGGGACAGTTTGGGACATGTTGACCTCACCCCAGAGACATTTAGGGAGGGCCCTCCAGGGCTGTTGAGGAGGAGTTTGCAACATTTTGGGAAGAAGCAATGTCGGATGGGAGATCTTCCTCATTAATGTCTTCCTTTGGGGGCGCATCATTGTTCTTTTCTGGACCTAGGTTTCCTCATTGGCAGAACTGGGGAGCAGAGCTGGTTGAGTGTTGAGGTCCCTGAGATCATATAAGCTGCTAGCCGAGCTGGGCGTGGGGCCCAGCAGGATGAGCACTGAGTTGGAGTCAAGGTGTCTGATTCTGGTCCTGCCTCTCAGGAACCGCCTGGGCTTCTGTGTCACCATGAGTGAAGTGGGGGGCAGTGGAGGCTACAATCTATCAATACATTTTGAGGATCAGCAGTTCAATAGGTTAAAATGTTCTGTGGTCAAATAAATATAGGAACGCTAGAGTTAAAATTTAATAGCTGTCTTTACTGCAGGACTTCTCGGAGCCTTTAGTTTACTGTTTAAGTACACTGTGACTTTCTAAGAGAGTGTGTGTGGTGCTCCCCTCCCCTGGCACTGGTGTTCCACAGAGCATGCTTTGGGAACCACAGTATGGCTGTACTGCCAGATTGCTCCCACGCCTGGTTCTCTGCACAGCTGAGAGTGGGTTGTGAGGGAAAGAGATGTGTCTCAGCTGTGTCCCATGGCCTCTGTGTACAGCTCTGTCCCATGGCCTCCCTCTCGGCCCCCACCATTTCCTGCCCCATCAGCTCTGGGTGCCTGTTCTTGTTCCCCAGAGACGGGCCAGAGCAGGCTCGTCCACTCCCGGACTGGTGCTGAGGAGGCAGGGCCCGTGGTGCCACTCCCCTGCCATGGCTGTAACTGCTGGCATGGATGGGCAGGCGTCCCTTTGTGTTAGATCCTGCGCTCCTCACACCCCCAGGAAGACGCTAGCAAATTGCTGTGGCCCCGTTGTCTTGTCCCCGTGCCGCTTGCTGGGCCCTGCCCCAGCCCTCTCCCCACGGTCTGCGGGGGCCTCTGTCACGGCCTCGGTGGCCCCGTGCGTCCTGAGGTGGCCTCCGGCTGTGGGCCCTGCGTGCCGAGCGCTAACCGGCTGTGTTCCCGTTCGTGACGTTTCAGGGACACCACGTCCAACTCGCTCACCCCTGAGGACCCCGGAGACCTGTCAGTGGGGCAGGACGCTGAAATCTGCTTGCTGAAGGCCGGAGAACTGATGTAAGTGACAGGTCGTGGGCGGGGCCTCCCAGGGAGCCGGATTTGGGAGGAGGAGCCCCTGCTGCTCCCCTGCGGGAGCTGGAAAGCACCCGGAGGCTCTGATGAGCTTTCAGTTTGTGCCTTTTTTAGGTCTACTTTATATGCAGTCAAATTCCCCCTTTATAGTGTACAGTGCTTGGATTTTGACAAATAAACAGTGTAATCACTGGTCATCCTGCCGGGCCCCATGCCCAGCTCGGCCATGGCTTGTACCATCTCAGGGACCTCAGAGCCCAACCAGCGCCACGCCCAGCTCGGCCAAAGAGGAAACCCAGGTCCAGAAGAGAAAAATAACTCGCCCACATGTGACCACAGTGAAGGTATAGAACAGTCTCGTCACCCTGAAAATGTCCCTGCGCCTCTTTATAGTCATCCCTCTCTCATCCCTAAGCCCTGTGTTCTTCTTGTTTGAAAATAACTTTGCTTTTTTTTCTTATTGTCAGAACAAAACATTTTCATTATAGGAAAACATAGATAAGCAAACCACTTTGGTATACAGCCTTCTAGTCTTTTTATACATATATACGTGATTTTTCAACATAATCAAATATTCTACATCTTATTTTGCAGTCTTTTTAAACTTCCTATTGCGTGAGTATTTCCCCATATCATTCTTTTTCTCCAGTGTTGTGTCCCATGGCTGCATAATTGCGTAGTAGTCATTGAATAGATTCAGTCACTCATTCACAGATATTTATTCAGCACCTGCTGTGTACCAGCTACTGTTCTAGGTCCTAGAGTACATCAGTGAACAAAACAAAGATCCCTGCCCTCGGTGTTGACAGACAATAAACATAAGTAAATAAGTAAATTATATAGTATGTTACGAGGTGGTGCTTACTATGGAAAAGGAACAAAGAGTCAGATAAGGGGGGGATTTGCAATTTTAAATAGAGTGACAATAGGAAGGTAAGACTTGAAGGAGTTGCCATGTAGATGTATGAGGGAAGAGTCACTGCAAAGGCCCTGGGGCAGCACGGTGTCTGGCATGTTCAAGGAACAGGGAAAGGGCCAGTGTGGCTGAAACAGAGAGCAAGGGAGACCAAGTCAGAGAGGGAACTGGGGTCCACATCACGTCAGGCCTTGTTGGCCATTGTAAGGACTTTGGCTTTTATCTGAGGGAAATGGGAGCCCAAAAATGAGGTTTGGAACAGATGAGTGACTTAATCTAATTTACATATGAAAAGGGATCACTCTGGTTGCCATGTGGAGAATGACTATGGAGGGACAAGGGCAGAAGTAGGCAGACCAGTAGAATTTACGTTTATGATGTGAATCCTGTAGACAGTAGACTTCTTTTTTTAAGATTAAGTTTGAGCAGAGATGGCAAACCCTTAATTTCTTTTTAGCATCTCCTTTGGGGAAGCTGAGTATTGTCCTCTCCCTGAATAGATGAGGTCTAGGAAGGTGAAAAAGACTAAAGTCACAATCCAATAACTGGGTGCAAGGGGAGAATTCTGGAAATAAAATTGTGAAATGACCCAGCTTCAGTGGGGCATCCTGTCAGAGAGAGTGACGGCGTATGTGGTAACACAGTAAGATTCCCATGTTACAGGAAAGACCTCTTTTCCAAAATGGACCCCTCTACCTACTCTCAGATTCTTGAAAATTGTAAATATTGGACACCTTTGTACCATAATTAGAAATAAAGCTTAAATTAACACCTGGAAAAATGTGACAGAATTAAATTTCACAAAGGTGAATGACTTAGAGCTGTTCTTGAGAGCATTTTGGTTTTTTAGTCATCGATTAGTCTTCTCATTAGCATAGAGTTGGGGGTTAGTTTCATCCATCTCCACAGCTTTGGAGGCAGACAGAACTCTCAGGGGGACCACTTACTTGCTGTGCCGTCTTGGGCAAGTTACTTAACCTCTCTGAGTTTTAGTTTCTACCCCTGTGTTAAAGGGGAGAGTAATACATTTTCTCCATGAGAGGCAGTCAGGGTAGGAGGAAGGTAATGGCTTCAGATCAGTGGATCTTGATCAAGTTTCTTAATCTTTTTGAAAATTAGCTCCCTCGTGTGTAAAATGGAGCATCGTGTGTCCTCACATAGCCATTGTGACACCACATTTGAAGCCGGCGAGCGGGGGGCCTCGTGCATAGTGGCCGCCACCTTCCCACTTCACAGTGGAGGAGATGACACTTGCCCAGGGCCACTCCACTGCTGAATCGCAGCTCTGCACTGGAGGCCGTGTCCTCATGCCCGAGCTAACATGCTGCCTCTGGGGTCGCATGGTGCAGGAGGGGCCCCTCAGTCGAGACAAGCAGCATCTAGAGATTTCCCCGTGCATGTCAAGGTCATCTTCTCTTGTGACCCTGACAGCAGTCCGGGGGCAAGCATGGTTATCCTTGTCTGCAGACGAGGAAACTGAGGCCTACGTGAGGGTGAGCCCTGCAGCAGGTGAGAATTGAGGCTGGTACCAGAACCCAGGGCCCCCTAGTTCTTCACATCACAGGCGGCCCTGCAGTGGACCCACTGTCATGAAACCCTCTAAACTTTAGGAAGAGTCTCCTATTCTCCTAGAGCCAGAGTCACAAGCCCAAGAAGCCTGTGTCCCCAAGGCCATCATGCCACCCACCACGCCTGCGCTGTAAAGAGTCTGGGATGTTTGCATTTAAGAGAAGATCCTGGTGCCCTCTTGGAATCTGGCAGTAGGCCCCAGATTTCCACTGAGAAGAGGGGTAACCGAAAGGGCCAGAGGTTTCTAATGTCTGCTGTCTGCTGGTACTGATTAGACACAAGGAGAGGCAGGGAAATAGAAGGAGAAAGGGGAGGGAGAGAGTGGACAGCTGAGCAGCAGGGCAGCTTCAGGAGAGCTAAGAAGGCTGCGGCCTGGCTCTCGCTTCCTGTGCATGAGGGGCTTGGAGCAGCTCAGGCCGTCCTCTGGGTTCCAGCGGGCTTGCAGGAGCTGGAACACACCAGCTCCACACAGGCAGGGATTGTCATCTGTATTTTTTACCTCTGCGTTTCCAGTGCCTAGAGCCATGCCAGGCACATAGTAAGTGCTCAGGAAGCATCCGTTGGCGTGAGCTGTGTGTCAACTTTTGTCCCTTAATTAAGCACGTTGGTCACGGTTACCCAGGGCTTGTCCTCCCAAGAGCCTCCAGGGTCTCTGGCCACCTCTGAGCCACAGACGACCTGGCCAGTGGACTGAAATACTTTGCCCGTTTGATCAGGTCCCTCTCCACATTTGCATTTTAGGGTAAAGTTACCCCTCACAGTGGAAGAGATCACCAGCTTCGGGGAGGGCAACAGGGAGCTGTTTGTGAGGTCCAGCACCTACAGTCTCATCCCTATCACCGTGGCCGAGGCAGGCCTCACCATCAGCTGGGTCTTCTCCTCGGACCCCAAGAGTATCTCCTTCAGCGTGGTCTTCCGGGAGTCAGAGGACACACCCCTGGATCAGTGTAAGGTAAGGCCGGCTCCCTGCCAGCAGGCCCTTTGCTCACACATCAGGATGCTTGGGCAGAGCTCTCCTAGAGCAGGGCCTGGCAGTCCTACCTTCTGCTGGGCAGACCTTCCCTGGAATCTTCTGGGCCCCTGCTGTGAGGGGGACACGGCAAGAAACCAGGGTGGGAAAGCCCTCTGGGCTATCTCACGCAGAGCAGGCACAGCACCTGGGCTTGCCCAGGTGGAAGAGGGGAGGAGGCCCAAAGGCCCAGGAGCGCCGTCTTCAAATGTCTGAAGGTCGCTCCTGTGACCGACAGCTTCAGTCTGACCTTGGGATAGATGGGTGGGTGAAGCTTAGAGGAATACAGATGTAGGACTCAGTTTAAGGATCGTTTTTTAACAGCTGTGCAGAGCAAGAATGGCTCACCATGGGAGGTGGTGACCAAGATCTCTGCTTCTGGTTATCAGCATCTCACCTCAAAAATGTCAATAGAGACACAAAGCCATTGTGTCAGTTGGGTGGTTGGCTTGAAATCTTGGTGGCAGATACCAGTTCATAAACTCCTAAGACATTCTAAGCATGGAGTATTGGTGATGGCCTGGACCATAGTTTTCAACCTGGACTGCACGTGAGAAACCCCTGGGGAGCCATACCCCAGACCACTACATCAGAATCTCTAGGGTGGGACCCAGGCAGCCCTAGGGGATTCCAGTGAGCAGCCAGGGTTGAGAGCCACTGGTCTAGATCCAGGGGATGTAAATCAGAGTAGAAAGGATGAGGTGGAAGCCAGAGCCCAAGAAGGTGAACAGGAATCCGTGGGTGGCTGATTCAGTATGGGGCAAGGAAACGGGAGAGGGTCTGAATTCCATACCTGGGTCTCTGCAAGGAGTGGAAGGAATGGTGAGGACAGTCAGACATGCTGAACTGGAGCTTAAAGTGGATCCCAGGATGTTAATACAGTTGCAAAAATCTCTATTTTCCAAGAATGGCAAGAATCAAGATAGAGAACAGCCATTTGAAATCCTGTGAAGTCTTTGCAATAATATCCATTAGTCCCTCATGCATGTGGTCCAGTGGGTGTGCTCTGGGGCTCGCGGTGAGGGTTGGGGAAGGCACAGAGCTGAAGGAAAGCGAGGTTCGGCGCACTGTGGGCACACAGCAGTTTGCTGCTCCTGTTTCAGCACCCACGTGGAGGACAGTGTGCTGTCCTGCCATCCCTCCCCTGTTGTACCTGCTCACTGTAGAGATTGCTTTGTCATTTCTGTCCTCTTCAAGTTCTCTCCTAAGATTTCATTCTAGCCCCCCTGAGTTGGCCTTGTTTATTCGAGTCTCGTGTTCATTCTTACTTAAGAACTGCTCTGCCCCTCTTTTCCTTTCGGGGGCTTGCTGCCTCGCCACATACCGAGCTTCAGAGCCCTTCCTTCCTGAGATTCCAAAGCTCCACCCAGGAGGTCCAGGGGCTTGTGGTCTGAGAGTGGATCCAGGCTCAGCCCTGCCGCCACACACAGGGAGAGTGTTGTCCCACTCCATGGGGCAGGTCTTAGTCCCAGTTTGCAGATGAGGAAACTGAGGTGCAGAGTGACTTGCCTGGCAGTTAGTAGAGCAGCAGCTTAACCAGTGTGCTTGTCAGCTCTGCCCTAACAAACAGCGGCACTGCCAAGAACTTAGCACCAGCACCTTTGCTCTTCACCCTCATATTCCCAAGGCTCACCAACCGCCTAGCACTGTGTCTGCCCAAGTTAGACACTGGTGGGTGTTTGTGGAAGGGAGGGAGTTGACTAAATCAGGTGTCCATGCCTCTCCCCTTGCTCAGTCACTCACCCACCAAACCCTCATGGCCCTGGGAGACCTGTGTGGTTCCCACCAGGAATCAGAAACTCAGGGACTTGGAGGAGCCTTCCTCATCTCTGGCTTCCATGTGGCCCTCTCTGGAGGTGATGACTACCATTGTCTTTCCCACAGTGGACACTAGGGGGCAAAAGGAGCCCATCTATAGAGTGAGTGAGAAGGGTGCTCAGGTGCTCCTTTGCCTTCACAGGCACACTGTCACCAGCCAGCTGTAGGGGGCGGCTGTTATTTCTGCCTGAGGTCCCCGGAGCAGACATCAGCCTGGGGAGCCTGTTTCCAGACACACATTCTCAGTGTCTATCCCAGGGGCTTCCCTATGTGAGCCCCTGACCAGCCTGGGCCTTACAGGAAACAACGGGATGCAGTGCAAATGGCAGCTCTTAGGTTCTGTACCTCCATAAGGAGGTACAGACACAGGAACTGTGCTGCATAATTGCCATCTGTTCACAACCATTTATTGAGCTTCTGCTGTATACTGGGCTCTATAGGCCCCACTGGGGATAGAGAGAGAAGGTACAACATGGGATCTGCCCTTGAGGAGCTCACCATGTAATCGAAGAGAGACCCTAGTAATTAGACAACTGTGACTGCAGGTGGTGAGTGTCATGATGGGCGTGGGCAGGCACTATGGGGGCACCTAACCCAGCCTAGTGGGTAGGGATCAGGAAAGGAGACCCCTGGGCCAAACCAGGAGAAGCAGTTTGGAGGAGAAGACAGGGCATGGGTTAGAGGAGAAGCGTCCAGGCAGAAGGAACAGCAGAGCAGGCCAGCCCCACCTCTAGTGGCACCTGGGCCACCTTCTCTCCAGAGTGACTTCCTCCATCAAGGTCACACTCTGACACTGAGATGAGAGGTTGTGAACTGGGAAGGCATTTGATGAAAGAAACAGTAAATCAAGAACTTGAGGATACCCATGTGCAGACCGCTTGCCTGAAGCCTGGAGACAAAGCAGAGGACAAGACCCAGGCCCTGCCCTCTCTCTCGGCTGAGGAGCTGTATATAGCCAGAGAAGTTTGACGGCTTGCCTGGGGCCACAGGGAGAGTCGTGAGAGGAACTAGGACCAGGAGCAAGGATCCTTGACTTTTTATTTTTTAAACAGCTTTATCGAGATATAATTCACATACTAGATAATTCACCCATTTAAAGTGTACAATTCGGGCCGGCCCCGTGGCTTAGCAGTTAGGTGCTCGCGCTCCGCTGCTGGCGGCCCGGGTTCGGATCCCGGGCACGCACGGATGCACTGCTTCTCCAGCCATGCTGAGGCTGCATCCCACATACAGCAACTAGAAGGATGTGCAACTATGACATACAACTATCTACTGGGGCTTTGGGGGAAAATAAATAAATAAATAAAATTATAAAGTGTACAATTCACTGAGCTTTAGTGTATTCACAGAGTTGTGCAACCATCACCATTATCTAATTTTAGATCATTTTCATCATCCCAAAAAGAAACTCCGTACCCACTAGCAGTCACTCCCCAACCTCTGTTCCCAGCAACCCCCAACCTACTTCTGCTTTATGGATTTGCCTATTCTGGACATTTCATGTGAGTAGAATCATACAGTGTGTGGCCTTTTGTGCCTGACTTTTTCCATTTAGCATAGAACCCTTGCTTTGTACCAGGGCCCCAGGCCACTGGAGTCCATCGAGAGATCAGTGACCCATGTGTTATTTAGAATGTATTATTTAGTTTCCAAATATTTTGAGATTTCCCAGATATCTGCTATTTATTTCTAGTTTAATTCCATTGTCAGAATACACACTTTGTATAACTTGGATCCTTTTAAGTGTAAGTTGTTATTTTTTTAACAGCCTAGAATATGACCTACCTGGGTGAATGTTCCAAGTGCACTTGAAAAGAATGTGTGTTCTGCTGTTGTTGGGTGGAGTGTTCTATATATATATGATCAAGTTAGTTGATAGTGTTGTTCAAGTCTTCTGTTTCCTTATTGAGTTCCTGTCTACTTATCCCATCAGTATTGAGGGATATTGGAATATCCAACTATAATTGTAAATTTATCTATTTCTCCTTATAATTCTACCAGTTTTTGCTTCCTGTGTTTTGAAGCCCTAGGGACATAAATGTTTAAGATTGTTACGTCCTCTTGATGAATTGACATCTTTATTGTTATGAAGTTATCCCTGACCATATTCTTTGATATAAAATCTACATTGATATTAATATAGTCAGTCCAGCTTTCTTTTGATATTGCTAGCATGGTATGTCTTTTTACATCTTTTTACTTTTAACCTATTTATATCCTTATATTTAAACTGCATTTCTTGTAGGTATGATGGAGTTGAGTCTTGCTTTTGCCCAACGTGATAATCTCTACCTTTTAATGGGGATGTTTAGACTATTTACATTTAATGTGATTATTGATGAGGTTAGGTTTGAATCTGTCGTCTTACCGTTGTTTTTTATTTGTCCCATCTGGTTGTTGTTCCTTGTTCCTCTCAAAGTAGTAAGCTGGGGCAGTTGTAGGGCTCACCTTATTCTCTCAGAGATCACTGTCCTTCATTGCCTGGCGTCCAGTGTCTTGAAAACTGCTGTTTTGTGTATTTTTTCTATTTTTGGTTGTTTCTTGGAAGAGTAAATCTTAGCCATTCTCCCATGCCTTTGAATATGTTGTCCCCACTGCCTGCAACAGCCAGACCTCCCTCTCACCAGCTGAATTGTCCAAGCTCGGTTTCACCTCTTCCAGGAAGTCTTCCCTGACGTTCTGCCTCTCCTCCCTCCCCCCTCAGGGGCTGGGATAGGCACCTCTCCATGGTTCTCCCCTTGTGGCGCTCTCACCCATTGTAATTGAATGTTTTCTTGTCTGTCGTCTCCATTAAACCACAAGGCCCTTGAGGGCAGAGCCTTTTGTGAGAACTTACTTCACTTTGGGAACTTTGTGGCCGACATGTAGGGTTTCAAGAAACATGCAGCTGTATTCAAGTTTGAGTTGAAAAAGTAATCACATCTTTATCACTATTTTAGATTCAGTCATTTTGTACAGAGTGAAAAATGTTTAATAGGAAAAAATAAAAACTGAATTTAACAAAAATTGTATTTCTGAAAAAGGAGCAACATTTAATTTTGTACAGAATAAAAATGGTCACTTGTGAGGCAGCGCATCCCATTAGGAACTGAAAGTTGCAAAGATGTTGGCGTGGTCTGTAAAGCCTCTGGTCTGTGTAACCATTTATGTGTAGGCCGTCCTAAGGGAGGGCTTAGCGATGCTTTATGAGATGAGACCCTCTAGGTGCTTGTCCCTTCTAAAAAAAACTTTTCTTTTAATTTGGTTGGCTCTGCCTTACTTCCTGTTTCCTCATTTCCTATCCTGTCTTCAGTTCTAAAATGTGTCTTAGCTGGTCAGCAGGTTGACGACTTTGCCCTCATGGAGAAGAGGTTGGCTGTCCAAAGACCCCCAGCCCTGGTCCTGTCCAGCACACACCATCTGCTCAGATGTGGCCTCTGACAGAGAGGCCCTGAGAAAACAGATGCCCAGGGACCAAGTTCTCATTCTTGGGGAAGGCAGAGAGTGAACAGGAGGTTGAGGCTCAGACTTGGAAAGATGAAAGGACCCTGGGGCACATGGACCGGCTGCGGTGCAGCCAGGAGAGGGAGCCTGCGGTGGGGCCACATAAGAAGCCACAGGTGGAGCCAGGGGTGTTCAGCCTGGAGGAGAGTGGGTCCAGCAACTTCACAGAGTGCTTGAAAGATGTGGAAGGAGGGGTTGGCCTGTCCTGTGAGACCCCCAAGGGCAGCATTAGGGCCAACAGGAGACAGCTGGACAGGTGGATTTCACCTAGAATAAGCCCCAGCTTCCTGAAGCCAGAAAGGGACCACTCCTCCAGGTGGTGGAGCATTCTGGCACTGGCCATGGTCAGAAGAGGCTGCGGGACCACTCCTCTGGGGTGCTGACCAGTTCATGATTCTGGGTGAAATGCATACCCATGACTTCCCCACTACCACAAGTCATCAACAAACCCAAGGCGTGTGGAAGACACCCCACCACTCCTGGGGCCTTATCCCAGCCCCAAACCTGCTCAGCTCTGACCTCTGACAGGGCACTCAGCCTCCTTGGGCCTCAGTTTCCTCCCCAAAAATGAAGGGCCCAGAGGATCCAGGGGGCCCTCTCAGCTTCCGTGACACTTTTTCTTATCTGGTTTTCCTCCCAGGTCCTCATTCCTACAACCCGATGCAATTCCCACAGGGAGAACATCCAGGGCCAGCTCAAGGTCCGCACCCCCGGCATCTACATGCTCATCTTCGACAACACCTTTTCCAGGTAGGGGCCACCTCATTTGTCAGCACCCAGATGAGTCCACCTGGCACTTGGTCTCAAGAACAGAGGTGGATATTTAAAAGAAATTATTTAATTATCAGTAATTTATTAATAATAGTTCTTTGATTTTAGACCCCCATCCTATGGTGTTCCAGTGTCTATTATAGATTTTACAACACACAGGCTAATACTTACAGAGTCTTACCACATGTCAGGTGTGTTCTCAGCCCTCCACTCCTATTTACTCACTTAAGCCCCACAGCATCCCCATGCAGTAGGGACCGTCTTTCACCTCATGTTACTGCTGAGGGACAGAGGACCAGAGGGGTAAAAGAGTGATACTGCCACGTCATACAGCTAGTCGTGGAGCCGAATTTGCACCCAGGTGGCCCAGCTCCAGGCTCTGGGCTCTGAACTGGTATACTCTCCTGCCTGTCTCTGATGTCCAGATTCCCACTGCCCAGCCCAAAGAAGGGCTCTGTAAATATAGTGGAAGGATTGCATGGATGGATGGATGGATGGATGGAGAGAAATGAAGGAATGAAGGCTAGAGCTTGAGATAAACAGGACTAGAACCATGAGGCGAAGCCCCTGGGCCTTGTTGTCATGGGAGCAGGGGCAGTGTGTGCCATCTCTGGGCAGCACTGTATCAGAGCACCAGCTACAGGTCCAGGAGTCTAGTGCTTGGGGGGTGGGAGCATGGCAATGTAGGAAGATAAGGCTGGAGGGGTGGCCAAGGAAGGAAGCGGGAGAGAGGACCAGCATTGGTTGAGCCTCTACCATGAGCCAGGGGCCCTACTCTATGGAGACATGAGACAGAGGTGGTTAAGGTTGCTGGGCACTGTCCCTTTTATGTCCTCTGGCTTCAGCATAAGCCCATAATTGGGGCTGCTTCTGTTATGAGACCTGCCTAATCAGCACCCAGCCACATCCTCTCTGAGTGGGGCCCTGAGCTAGTGGCCACATCCCCCAACATGAGTACCCTTCCCAGCCCTCTTGGCTTTTAGCAGAATAGCTTGATAGGACACTCTAGGAGAACGCTGTGCCACCCCCTCACCACTTCTAGGCCTTGAACTCCCAGGGCCTATGGTCAAGGGTGTCTACCAAAGGAGAGGTTAAGAGGATGAGCTTCCCGCCTTCCCCTCTCGTTCCCCTCCCCTACACACCCCATGAACATGAACACACCTTGAGTTAGCAGGACTCAGGGGCACAGGCCTAGCATGTCCAGAGAGCTGCCTTCAGAGCCCACCCAGAGTGGGCGTGAGCCCTGGCCCCTCCAGGGCAGCAGGATGGGGCAGTAGTTAGGAGAGTGGGTAGGAGTCAGTAGGCACAGGCTCTGCTCTTCCCTCTGTGGGCCTCAGTTGAATCCCCATTTCCTCTGCAGTGGCTGCGAGCATGGTCGCTGTCTCCCTGAGCCTCACTGTGGGTTGACGGAGAGGCCGAGGAGAGGTGTGTTGAGGGTGGAGCACAGTCACAACCCCCAAGTCAGCTCCCAGTTATCGCTAGAGGTGACCATGGTGCTGTGACAAACTCTGGCCTTAGCCCGTTGAGCTCATCTCAGGGGCCTACTCGAGATTTCTGAAGCATGGATGGCAAAACGGATTTAGATGCCCAGTCAGAATGAAATCCATACTCCCCTTCACCATGTATGTCCTCTCAATGCCTGCTCCATCCACTCCTCCTGTGCAGTCCGGACCACCCAGACCCCTGAGACCCCTGGGCCACTTCAGAGCAGCAAGGCGAGGAGGAGTGGTTCACAGCGTGGGACCACATGGGCGTTTCCGCACCCAAGCCCCAGGAAAGTCCATGGCGATGTCCCAAGATCGCCTGACCCTCTGCAGGGAGAGAACTCTGCTAGACAGAGGAAATGGGGGTGAGGGGGCCTGGAAGAGTCCATGCACTCTGCTAGGGGCCCAGGCCTCTGAGCAGAGGTCTCCCCACAAGGCTCCCCACGCCTGCCAGCACCCACACCCAGCCAGGTCATCGCAGCCACCACAGAGGCCCCAGCAGCAGCCGCTGCCCCTCGGGCTTCAGCTCTCAGGGTAACACCCTCCTTATTTATTTCTGTTTCCTCAGGTTTGTCTCCAAGAAAGTATTTTATCACTTGACAGTTGACCGGCCTGTGATCTACGACGGAAGTGATTTCCCATAGCCTCAAGCACCTGGATTTTAATAGTTTCACTTTATCCACAGGAAACACTACTCTTCCTCACCTGTCACATAAAGCACTAAAAAAAAGCAGCTGCTCTGAAGCGGATCCACTGTGCAATCTGAGGGACAGGCCCTCGGGCTGCTCCTCAGAGCGGCGTTGTCCCCAGCACTGTGTCCCCCACACTATGCACCATCACTCTTAGCCCCCATGGCTTTTAAGGGCTCAAGCAATGTTTCCATTGATTAGGGACCCACTGTCCTCACACCCAAAGGGGCCCTCTGCCAAAAATTTAGCAACTCAAGAGACCATCGGCCTCTCCTTGGGGCACGGTTGGTTACAGGCCTCCTGTGGAGAGTTTCACAGGCCAGAGGTGATCCTGACTTCTGCCCCTGGAGAGAGATGCCCCACTGTGTCCAGCGCAGGGCCAGGCATCCTGGATGACCATGAGCTGGGATGCCCTGGCCAGACCCTGTGAGACCCGCAGGTCCTCCCGAAAAAGGAGGCCACAGGGCCATCATGAGCGTCAGGGCGCCCTGGGGGCCCTCCTGAGATCCCAACCAGCCTCTTCCTGTCATGCTCCTGTCCCTTCCTGCCCCAGGAGTTTGGGGCTGTTCCAGAACTCAGCAATTCCAGAGGGACCTCTAACTGCACTTTCCTCCCGGCCCTTCTCTCTGGGCAATTCTTGAGCAAAGCCTTTCACCCAGGCCTCTCAACAGCTCAAAACATCACCCTAAGAATCAGAACTGAAGATTATCCAGGAAACAGAGCCCACCGTACTGAGGGCCTACAGAGGCCGTCTATATACAGGTGGCTGAGCCCAGTGCTGGCTGACGTTGATGCCATGACCAAAGAGCAGGCTTGTGCATTGGCCTTTCGGGCTCACTCCCCAGCTAATGGCCTGTCTTGGTTGATATAAATAAGAGCTTCTGCCTCACCTGCAGATATGTTTACCGATGATCATAATCAAGATAAGAACCACTTTCAAAAATTAGGACGCTCTTAACAAAAGTCTTTGGTAACTCAAGTGTGAATAGGCTTAAGTCATGAATCTGCTCTTTGTTTGCTTCTTGGTCCCCACTCCCACCTGTCAGATTCCCCAGCACCCCATTTGCCCACTCCCTGCTGCTCAGCCTGCACCTGACAGCCAGGAGCCCTCTCTCCTTGGGCAGATGAATCCTGTTTCCTTTTCCCGGACAAGAAGGAAATAATCTTCCTGTTCTCTGTGGCACTTTTCTTCTCCCACTAGAGAGAGCTCACTTTTGATGGCCTCTTTGTGCCTTGTTCACAGAGGCCAGCCATCTGCAGTCAGGGCCCAGGTACCTCCACAGGTAGGCAGAGCAGCTGACGAAGCAGCCCACTTTGGCCAGGGGTAAGGGGGAGCACTGGGCCCCGCCAGTCCTCCAGCTAGCCTGGGACCTAGTCATACCACCTCAGGGCTTCCTTCTGTCATCCACAGGCCTGATCTGACTGGTTTTGAGAGCTTGAAAATGGGTCAGGGACCCCAAGCCAAGTTCAGCACAGACCCCACACCCACCATGTGCCAGCAGAGGACTCTCGTGGGGCAGAGGCAGGAGGAAGTGACTTCTGCAGTGACTCAGACCTTTCATATAAATAGGAGACTTGGGTGCTTCCTTTCAGTTTAGGCGGGGTGTGGGGAATGGTGAACAGAACCTTCCAGAGAAGTCAGCCTGGAGAAAAGCTAGACCTCTTGTGCTCTCTTTCCTTGGAGCAGCCTCCTCTGGCAGAAAGCCATCAGGGTCTCTAGCATCTCCTACTGGCCGAGGCCACGACAGTGCTCAACACCAGAACAGAAAATGTACAGGCCTGCAGAGACTCTTCCTAGCTTCATGCTTGTCCTCACAGGTGTGCCACACAGCCTAAGGATTGTTCCACCAGAGCAAATTATCCTGACCTTGAGTCCACCAACCCCCTTGGAAAGAATAATCAGAAGTGGCTAGTTCACCCCATGAAAGAAACTAACAATTAAGAGAACCCCAAGCAGTCTGGAGTCACGTTTTGAGTGCTTAGCTTTCCCAGGAGACTGTGGAGACTCGGCCACACTGTCCTCTGCAGCCAGAACCAACATTTAGTGAGTAGCCAGTGTGCTTCCTACGGAAGGCCTGAGACGTTCCATCTGAGACCCATTCTGTACCTCTGTCACTCAGCCCTGCAGGGGGCCATCTGCAGCTTAAAAACCGCGAAGCCAACCCAGAACCACTCCTCCGGGAGAGCAGGGGCCCCTTGTGGTGTGCACCCCCTCGAACGTTCACTGCAGTTGTGCAAAAAGGCCTTTGCTGTGTTCAGAGGACGCCCAGTCCCCCAGTGGTCGTATTCTGACTCCGCACCTTATTTATTGTTTGTGCTGGATGGACTCTTGTCCTTTGTGAGTTTGCTGTGCACTATGCAGCTAGAGAACATCTTTGCCTATTTAAGTGTGGCTTGTATAAATAGCTTTATTCTTATTTTAAATAGGTTCCCAACTTTACTGAGGTTTTGGGGTTGGGGTACTTTAAAAAAATGCAAATGACAATGAAGAACAACTATTGAAGGTGGTAGCCCCAGCCAGTGTCTACTAGAAATCACACTAGAAATCACAAGAAGGAAACATCTTTAGGATCTCAGATCACTATTTAAAAAAAACAAAAAACCAGCAGCCCCTTCATCGCCCAGCTCTCTGAATAATAGTCACTTACTTTTTAGTATTGATACTGACTGCCTTGTCTACTTCTGCCTCAGAAGCTACCAGTCAGCCTCACTCACCCGAGAAGATGGCGTTTGTCAGGCACTCTCGTCCACAGGAAGCAAGGGTGTTGGAGACCTAGTGTGGCCTCCGCAGAGCCCTCCTGGCTGGAGCCCGCTGGACTCCGGGTTGACTGGACCGAGAGCAGGCAAAGAAATTCTCAAGCAGCAATCTGGAACTGAAAAATCCCACAGGGTTTGGAAAGTAGAAATGAAACACCACATAATAGAACTCTAAAGGGGATGGTTTTTCTGAAATTTTTCAGTTGTCACCCACCTAAGGTGGTGAAGCCATTCCAGACTCACATGAGAGGAAATCCCCCATTTGAGAATGAAATCTCCAAGTCTGTTTTATGATACTGGTTAGGTGTCCACTGATACAATTTTATACGCATTTCATATTTAAAAGTCCCCCTTGGTACTTGTGCATGTGAGCATCCCATCCTTGGCTCAGAGGTGTTGAGAATTAAAGCAGAGACTCCATGTATGATGCTTGGAACCGAGGGTCCCCCTGCACAGAGACCGCTGAGTCAGCCATTCACGTTCACAAAACACTTACCCAACAGACACTTGTTAGTGGAACCTTGGGTAAAGTTTTTCTCATTTCATTGTGATTCTTCCAAGAAAACAGGAAAGACTGAATAATGCCTTTTCCCTCTTAAGCACTTTTTAAAAATAATAAAGTATATCTTTAAATTTGGGGAGGCATCTCTGATAAAAAGACATCCTTAGAACCTTATGACAACTGTTATCCAGAGACACTGCTGCCTCTGGTGGCTGCAGGACAGCACCCAGGCTTCAGCTGGACGGCTTCCAACCCGAATTGCACTTTAATTGACTAATCCTCAATTCTCTTGGCCTTATGGGATAATGGGTCTGGGAACCCATTTCATTCTTATCTACCAAAGAATTACTCAGAAGCACATTAAATGCCAACACTCCACCTGCACAGTGGGAGTGAGAAACTTTTGTATCCCAAACATATTCCTTTATAGCGTCTGCTGCACCATTTGGAAATGTTTTACTTTTAACCTCAAGATTTAAATAAAGTAAACACTATGACACTGAGAGTAGCATCATGTTTCATTCCATTGAGACATAAGACGAGTGGTAAAGTTACTCAGACCAGAGTCGGAGTTGAGCTGCTCTACTGGGAGATAGAGCATCACCTTATACTGTGGCTTTTCAAAAGGGCTCGAGCCCTGTTCTCAGATGTTCTGAGAGATTGCCATGCAGCCTGATATCTGGGTACTTCCCGGTCTGCTCTGAGGCCGGTGTTCAGACCTGCCTGAGCCAACGTGTTGTTCCAACCCACCACCCTCTGCCGGATGAGCTGCTGCCCTCAGCTCAATGTCCCCAGCCCTCCCATGGTACTCACAGAGCACTTTGAGCAAAGAGCAAACTTCACCGGAATAATGGGGTGGGGAAAAAGGTCATGGATGGCCTAAAACCACGACTAGTGGATCTGTGGTACAGAGCTGGGCAAAACTGCTAGGCCGAGGCAGCTGGCAGAGGGAGGAGTCCACACTCCCACCACTGCTTACACTGTTTTTTCTGGGTCAGCAAAGAGCCTGGACACAGGCCCCCAAGGGCGTGTCCCACTCACTCCTGGACCAGTCAGAGTGAGCTCAGGCTGGGCAGTCCATCCACACTCACCTCACACCCCACATCTGGAGATGACAGGGCTCCTTCCCTTGAGTGCCCTGTGCCTCACAGAACACCCCCCAGCCGCCTTTCCCTCTACCCACCTTCCTCCTCCAACCTTCCCCCTGCCCTGAGATTCTCATGTGGCCTCTTCTTTAATCAGTTACTCAGGAATAATTTACACTTTCTGTAACCGTATTGCTCCCTCAAGGGCAAGGACCATGTTGCATTCATCTTCATCTCCCTCCTTTCCCTCACGCCCACAGCATCAAGCACCATGCCAGACACGAGAGTACTCAACAGTTACTGAATCAGTGAGGGCACTGGTCAGTTCTGATGCCTTGGTCAGCTATAGGCCATCAACAATCCCCCTAGCCAACTTGGCCAAGGACAGAAGCTCCTGAAAGTCCCATGGCAGAGAAGGGCAAAGGGCAAGCCTACAGAAGGTTTGGGGAAGATGGAGGTGAGCTGGTGACTCGATCCTACCCCTCCTGCACCCCCTCTTGTATTAATGATGCTCTCGAATCAACCCTCTTACTGTCCAGTGACCAGGTTGAAGTAACAGAAGATTGGTGTATCCAAGTGCCCAATAGCACCGCAGAAGGCCTTTTTTGTTAATAGAACAGTCCCTCCAGAGGCTTGGTGGCCACGTGGGCTGGGGGCTGGAATTCTGAGACACACGTAGAGGTGCATGCTGCATCTG